GAGGGGGCTAAAAAAAAAAAAAAAAAAAAGTCTTCCCTTTTAGTCCAGCCCCGGCCTTGACACTCCCTTCCCCCCCCCGCTTTTTTTTTTTAATGTACCTTAGTTCAAGTGATTGTAGCTAGAAACATCTTGTGACGATTCAAATCTCGATTAGGTAAAGGAAAAGAAAACAAAACAAAAAAACCCTAAATGTTAAAAAAATAGTAGCAGCTTAAAGTCTTCTAGTAGTTCTTACATTCTGTCTTGAATAATCCATATTCAGGAGAAAGTGAATTAAGTTAAGTTTGCTTGTACTGAGAAGGGTTTGAGAAGGACTGAAACCTTAATAACAACTATGCAGTGAGCTCTTTCGTGGTACAGGACACTGGAAGACACTGGAGACTGAGCAGCATGGGGAAGGCAGGGATACATTGCCTCCTTAGCATCTTGTGATATATAAGAACTAGGAGGTATCAAATGTTGCTCACAGAAACAAAGCCTAAAACAAAATCAGGTGATTTTTCCTTCACTAGGTAGTAAACCTGTGGAATTCCTTGTCAAAGAATGTAGCAGAAGCAAAACATTTCAAGCTGACTGGACTTGACAGAGGTGCAGCACCTACTTGCTCTGCTTTTAATCTTCCTGTGCCATTTATTTCTGCTCGCTGTTGGAGACAGTAGGCTAACTGAGCCCTTCTTTTGAACAACTATTCTTATGTGAAGAAAAAAGTAAAAGTGAGTATCTCACAGGGGTTAGTATTTCTGGGAGCTGGTCCTCCCAATTAGTTGTGCCTTTGACTTAAGACAGCTAGATGTCCCAAACTTTTTCCAAAGGACGAAAAGAGAAGAAAAATCTAAGTGCTGCTCTGTTAAGTGAGTCATTTTTTTTAATTATATGTATTCTAATCTTGCTTTTTTCTTTTTTTTTATTAGAATTATCCATCATGTCTTCACTAACAGAAAAAGACAGACCTATTGTTCAGCTGTTATTGAACACGGGCACTTGCCCGCGATGTATTTTCAGGTTCTGCTGCGTGGGATCACAGGCACCTTATAAACGTCCATACAAGGTTTCTTCTTTATATTCCTAATTAGACTCTGTGAAGATGAATGCAGTGTTCTTTGCATTTACTTGATTTAGAAGGACATTATATTATTGGGCTCTTTACCTGGGAGAATAAGGCTTTACAAAATGAGTCAGGAAAAATGACTGCTGCTTACATAATGCAATTTTATTGAGTAATTACGGGAATGGTAGAATATAACAATTGTTGTGGGTTAAATGTTAAATTTGTGAAAGTTGCTAAGTATTTCCCGAAAATACCAGAAAACAGGGCATTTCAGCTGCTTCACAGTATGATTCTATCACTTTGGAGCCAAAGCAGCTATGACAGCTTTCTCTGTTCTTTTCCGTTTCATATAAGAAGGAGCAAAGGAGCAGTGGGTCAGTGCAGCTGAAGTGGAGGAGGAACCATGTGTGCGCAAAAATGTGCCTCCATGTGCACCATGTGTACCTCTTCCAGTAGAACTGATTAGAGTGCTGTAATTAAGAATTGGATTAGAGTGCTGTAATTAAGAATTGCTGAGCACAAGCTAAGTGCAAGTTTTCCTTTTTTAATAATTGAAAACAGTGTTATTGTGCATCTTTTTTGAGTAAACTTACTGAATTCCAGCAGTATTACCAGCATTTTTCTAAGTGTGCACCATCATTCTTGCCCTTATTCTGTCTGATGTTCCTCCACCTGTTTTTGTCCTTCTGTTTCTTCTCCATATGTTTTTCCTTTTTTTTTTTCCAAGACCTCTCTCATTGTTCAGTGAGATAATGAACCTCTATTTATTTAACTTTAAATAAACATCTTCTTTTGCCTGGTTTAGTGCGTATACATTTTGTTGTTACGCTTTCATTTGAAGGTGTCTGTCTTGGTCTATTCTACTGATGTTCAAGTTCAGACTCTGGAATTCATCTTTTATAGCTTTCCTCCCTATGCTTTTCTATTTTCTGTCCATTATTTCAGACTTGTATGCCATTTGTTGTTATTTGTGGCTTTACCCACTTTTCCTGTGATTTGCAACAACACAGTAACTGCTTGTTACTGAAGATATTTTAATAAATCTTTCTTTCTGAACTACATTTTAACCTTAACATAGTTCCTAAAATTCAGAGATGTGCAGGTAATTCCTCCCTGTCCTCACTAGCACACCCTTTAATTTTCATTTAGTTTTCGTTGATTAGTGATGGGGCCAAAGATAAATGCATTTCTGTAGGTGAGGAATGTTCTAGTCTTGTTGATTGATATGAAGAAGTCTGTTCAGTAAAGGTAAATTTCTCTGGGTAACGTTTTGGCAGAAGTGCAACTTTGTGCTTTTTAAATGGTGTGGATTTTTTTTTTTTGGTATAAATAACAAGTTTTTAATTAGACTAAGGCTATTCTGGAGTGATTAACACTGCCTTTTAGAATGTGTTACAAGCTTGCTACAGCATTGAAGAAAAGAGGAAAAATCAACAGCAGTGGTATTTGTCTTTTTACTAGGATTTGATGAAGGAGTTGAAGGAATTTCTGAAAAAACATCCAGAAAAAGATGGTACAGTCTGTTTTGAAGTAGCTGATCCACCCTGTAAGAGAATCAGGCTTGAAAACCTGGAAGAGGGGCCTGATGATCTGAACCAGAATGGAGTGGTCAAGCAGATTCCTTTGGTTAATGAAGATAATACTGCTTTGGAGAGCTCACCAGTGAAGGTTTGCAGTGTGTGTTTGGGGATTCTTCAGGAGTTCTGCGAGGTGGACTTTGTTAAAAAGGTAAATGTTCGGTTCTTGATTTGTATATTTGCTTTTCTGGGAACTGATGAGTGCTGGAGCCTTAAGGTGTACATCTGGTCATTACAAGCCCATGCAACTAAACCAGCAAGATAAGGGAGAACAAGCTGAAACATTTACTCAGGTTGAATGTTTGAAGTGTAGGTGGCGCTATTCAACTACACACTGCTAACTGACACGGTGCATGCCCCCCTCCTCTGCACTTGGGAAATAAAATTTGTGTCTCTGTGACTGTATTTTACCCAGGCCTGGGGGGCCTAGCTTAAAAAAAAAGGGGGGGGGAAGAAGAAAAGAGAATGAAGGTGCAATGGAGTGACTTATTGAAACATATTTTCCAAACCAAAGAACTAATAGATACTTGGTTAGATTAATTTAGGAGACAATATTAGGTCAGCTATTTAGAGTACCACTCTCTCATTGTAAATAATGATGCCTCTTCACTTCTCCCTTTAATGGGAGAGTATGGAGGCTGTGCTATTCAGCTTAGCTTAGCTATGTGCTGTTAATGTACCAGAACTATGTCTTTACCATATACTAATACTGAGAAAGTCACAGAAGAATACAGAAGAATTTTGATGGAATAACAGATTATAGGTGCTGCAGGAAGTATGTATCAGGGGAGAATATGGGCATAATGAGTATTGCAGACATCATGTCTGAGAAAAAAAGTTGCCTATGTAACCAGCTGAAATATCAGCTGGAAAATCCCAGTGCAGTTGAGGTGTTTAAGTTTTTAACAAATAAGTTAAGAGCAAGTCAGATTAAAAAGTATTTGGCATAGTGGCATGAATATATCAAAAATGAGACTAAATAGAAACGATATAAAGCATTGTATGTAGTTTCTGCTGCAGGGCATTTTTTTCAGTTTAAAAGTTTCTTTTTTGTTTCTGTTGGCAGAGTGTATATACTTGTTTCAGATTCACACTTTTGATGTAAAATCTGACAGCGTTTGTAAGGCCCCCCAAAGCCTGATTCTCTAACAAAACCTGTTTCTCTAACAAGGAAATTTCCTAATCTGAGATATTGTTTTCATCTTGAAAGCTCAGAACAAGTCTTTTTTATTTATAATCATTGACATTTTGGACATTCTCTTCTTGCATGTTTAAGATTATTTTTGGAGAGACATCTAACCATTAGCTCTTAGTAGCCTACTTTAAAATGTTTTGGGAGTGTTTAGCTTTCTGCTTTATTTCCAGTGGCAATTTTGTTTTTTATGTCAAAGCACACTAGAAATCTAGGCTATGTTCTGGTCTATGTGTGTAGTAATTGCATACTAATCCTGGAAAAACATAGGCATTCTGTTGTAAACTAAAGGATGAAATACTACTTTCGATTCTTACTTTGAAAAGCAATAGAATTAAAACTGTGGATTTGTGTTTGTTCCTGGCTTGTCCCAGGACCTTACACATATTTATTGTTGTAGAATACATGCTGAGTCAACTGTTCTGGCCTTTGATCATTGTACTTTGATTCTTGTACCAAAAATTATGTATGTGATTGGTTTTAGGCTTAAAATACAGAGTTAGATATTTCATAATGCTGCAGTAATAAGGATACCATTTATTGGTATCCTATTAAAAACCAGACAAAACTTGTGTTTCACTAAGTCGTTAGAGATTACCATTTTGCATATTTGGCATCTGACAGTGTATTAATATGGATTTGCAGTGATTACACTAGATTATCAACTGGGTTTCATTGCTGGAGTTTAATATTGAAATCTTCTTGCAGGTGTGTCAAAAGGTTAAATCTGCTGACTACCAGTTTACTAGTTTTGTGCTTTCGGTATCCCTGCCCCCACAGCTGTCTGTTAGAGAGGTAAGTGCTTATAAATATTTCTTGGTTACTTAAATGCATAGTAGAGAAAGCATCTTGGTAACATGCAAGCTGGAGGTGGTTTGATTTTAATTGCTATTGTTTTAAAAGAAAACACATGCTAAAAGTGAAGTCTGTCCTTCTCTTCCTTTTTGCTGAGCATTATTTTAATTAATAAAGTGTCTGAGTTGCTTCAGATGTCAGTTAGCCCAGAAGTACATCAGAAAAACTGAAAGGAGTTTCTTTAAACCCTTGGTGTCTTGCTGCCTTTGGTACAGATGCCAGCTCTGCTTTGTGGATCTTCTTGGAGAAGGAACTGCACAGCTGGTGCCTTTCCTGAAATAAATGATAATTGGTAGTGCAGAATGCAAATGAAGGAATTTGAAGATGGACTCTTTATCTCTGCAGCATTTTAAATGATGTAAAAATATGTATTTTTAGTAGTCACCTGTCTTGGCCATTGTTGAAAAAGTAAATGAATGTAATTGTAAAAGTACTAATTTTGATGGCAATTTTTATCAAACTTAAATTATTTACATTTCAATTATTTAAGTATAGAAGACAGCAGTAAGATGGACAGGTATATAAGTGACGTATTTTGGAAAATTGAATAAATATCCTAAGTATAGTTTAGCATGATCAGTTGTGCGATGTTTTACAATGTTTACCTGCTTTGTGACATGAAGTGATGCGAAAGTACTATTGTAAAGAGCAGCATGTAAATCTTCCAGATAGATGCCTCCTGTGGTAAGATGTAGTAGAAGCTTCAGTGAATGTGGCAAAATGAAGTGTAGGTCATCCTGAATTTATACATAAATCTGAGGTGAGGCCTGTTCTTATCCCACATAGTTTGATTATTAAATAACCTGCAACGCCTTTAGACTTGAATAGCAGTGTTAATTCTGGTATCTCAGGCAAATATCAGTGCGGTAACTGTTTTGTGCTAATGTATACTTTACTCTAAGCCTGCTAAGACTCTTAACTTTCCATCCTAAATTAAGTATACTTAGTGTGTTCACTTCAGCTGCCAAAGAATACCAGAACAGATTGCTTTGTGCTTTCTGGCTAGATTAAGTCTTTCAGACTAGCTAGGTGTATGGGTGCATGTGTTCATGTCCATGGTGCTCTTCAACTTCTCAAAAAGGTCAAAAGTAGCCCAACTTGATGTCTCTAGTGATAACTTCTGATGTGCTGGCCTGTGTGTTTAAAAAAAAAAAAAAAAAAAAGAGGAGCCTTATTATTTTCATGGTACTATACATCAGTACTTTTCAGTTTCCAGTTTACTTTGACTAATCATTGCTGAGGCCTTCTGTGTTCGTTGTTGTAGCCTCAGTCAGCAGAAAACAAAGGGATGTGCGAATCCCAACTGCAGTTTCCATGCCAATCAAGTTATTAGTACTTTTTTTTTTTCATTCACCTTTAACCTGGCTACAGTTTATCTGGCTTAAAAATAACCTATTTTTCTTATTCATAGCTTGGCTATATAATTATATATAAAGAAAGAAGAATGTAATGCTACTGGTCTTTCACAGCCTCTCCGTGGGTTTATTGCCATAATGTCTCAGTAGAGGGTGTTATTGCATTGCAGTTTGAGCTCTGTCATGTTCTCACAGTAGTCTGAACAAGTAGAAAAAGTGTTTCTGCCTGTTTTTGAGGCAGTCTTGGCTGCAAACAGAGGCTAAAGATAATCGTTTGCTTCGAAGAGTTCCTCTTGCCGATTGAATTGTTGCATGTTGCCTGGTACTTGATGCACTGAAAGTGTGTGAGCTAGAAAAAATCACCTGGCAAAGATAGTTGGTGAAAATTGTACATTTATAGCAACTTTGTCTTCTATGTGCAATAAATTATCAGTTTGATAAAAGGAGTAAGATGCTGCTGTTATTTTTATCAGCACTTTTATCTTTATAGTACTTCACATCCATTCCCTTCAAGATTTCTTGCCATTATGTTCAAGCAAGCAAACAGTACTTCAGTATGCCGTAGGACCAGGGGAATAAAAAACTGGTTTGGGTCCAGGAATAAGTAAGTGGGGTGGGATGATGGAGTAAAAACCTCCAAAATCAGATCTGCTGTCCTAGTTTCAGGTTACCTGGGAGCAGGGCTGTCTGAGGGGGCTCCTGCAATCCCTCTATTCTATACTTGCCAGGTGCTAAAGCAGCTGGTCGTGTAGCTGTGCTCTGGTTGAAGGCGTGAAAATAGGGAGAGGCAAAAAAGAACCTCTTCAGAGTTGTGAATTTTTATTTGCCATCTATCCATTACTTCTAAAAATAATTAGTAGAAAAAGTTCCTGTTTTACAGTTACAGAAGAGCAGCAAGTAAAACAATAAGGCCATATCCCAGGATGCTTTGTGTTGAAAAACAGAACTTTAGAACTTTTTCTAAGTTCTTCTTTTAATTCTTTTGAACTGCACTGTACAAGAACAAACGTCATTTTTTTCATAAAAAGATACCCCCAAAGACAGCCTCCCTTCCATTGACCTTTTGTATGACACACAGATTTTTTCTGACTTCCTTTAAAAAAAATAAAAATAAAAAAAAAAACAGAATTTGTCTCTTAAAATTACCCTCAACAAATTTAATCATGACAATTGTCGTCCAAGCTTAAGATGCAGGGCAGGGCCTGAACAAGAGTGTGACATACAAATACTATCCAAGTGTAAATTTTATCTGCAATGCAAAGAATCTATTACCTCTTTCTGCAGATAGGATATCTTATTAAAATAAATCATAAATACAAGAGTTCCAAGTTTATCTCAGTCATGAGTGAGTCGTGCCCTTCAAGAAGGTGACTGTTTGCTGTGTCTGTAGTCTCAGTTGTGATCCGTCATCCCAGTACTTGCTACAAGGACATTGATGCAAATAGCATCTGTAGTCATTACTCCCTATAGGACTGTGTATACCTCATTATGGAATTCCCCATCTCAAGCTCTTTTCTAATACAGTGAACAAATGCAGTGGCTGGAATTGCACATGGTATTTCAACTGTTGCCACTGTGATCCCTCAGATAGCATTAGAGCATAGTGTCCTGCAGCGTGTAATCAGTATAGTGCCTGAGCTAGTGTGTTTCAGAAATCTATTTGCTGTTAAGCATTGCCCTGCGGGCTTGAGTTCTGTAATGAGCATTTTTCATTTTCAAACTACTTCACAAACATAAAGTAATTATGAAATAGAGGGTCTGGTCCCCTGCTTTGCATACAGAAAAAAGCAGAGAAAGCAAGGCAGGGGACCTGGTTGAATAGGATTCGGAATTTGGGATCTTTTGGCTTCTGTGTTCACAGTACCTTAGTTTATTCTTTCCTCTTCATTGAAGGGGGAAGGTAGTTTATTGAATTCTCTTTCACTTTTGAAATCAGGGGAAAGAAGATGAAATTTGATACGGGGTCTCATTTTATCATACTTATGGGCAGAAGATTTCTCTAGTTTGTAGTTGTGCCACTCGTAATATGAGTACAAGGGGTGAGATTAGCCACCTGAGTACTAAACCTGCAGGTACTTTAAATCATGAAATATAAGGCTGTTTGAATCAGCATTTGTCAACTGAAGAGCTGTAGACCTTGTTCTGTGGTTGCTATGTTCTCTAGTTAAGATGCGTGCTCCAAGAATTATGATTAGAAGCTCTATTTATTTGCGATTTCATCTACATAATATTCAAAGATTGCTATATGCTTCATAGTGTTTTGTGAAGCAGTCTTGCTCGCATTTGCTACATGTATAGTATAATGAATCACATTCACACCAAAACAGTATTTATCAGTACAATTACATTTATTCTGTTCAATAGGGTGCTTGTTTATGTATCGTGTATTTAAAAAGTTTGTATTCTCTCTAGAGCATTCCTCTCTCCCCTTGGTTTTAAGATTCCACCATTCTTCTAGGCAGACCAAAGGCAAGATAGTAGAGAACAGTTCTTTTGACTGAGATATTTTGATTTGTTTGTTTATTAAAGCACTATATAAGCAGAAAGAAAGATAAAGAAAGAATTTAAAATGTTAAAGAATGTAGATCAGTGATATTTACTACTTTTGAAGTAGGAACTCTTTTGGACACTGCAAGTGTGTCTATAACTACATGAGAGGTTTATGGAGCTGCCTCTCTCTGACTCCTTACTGCTCCACAGGTGGCAAGCTACTAATTTTGGTTTCTCATTGTAGGCATGTAAGTAAGCTAAGTGACTTTGGTTTGGAATTCAGGGTAGTGAGACTGGACCTCTGGACTTTTTTTTGGTTGGTGTTAGAGGAAAAAACATTTTTTATTTTTGTTCATAGAATCATAGAATTGTTATGATTGAAAAAGACCTTTGAGATCATCGAGTCCAACTGTAATCCCTTCAACACCATTCATTTCTGTTAAACCATATTCCTAAACTCCTCATCTACATGTTTCTTGAAAACTAGTTATAGAAGTTTTGGGGTGTGATTTTACCCTTATTAATTGCTTTTGCACTGATAGGCATTTTGTTGAAATTGAAATGTTGTGCAGCTCTTCTGAATATCTATGTCTAATATCTCTCTTGACAGAAATATAAGCATATAAATTAGTGTTCATAAAAGGGTGTGTTCCCCCCCATCCTGTCACTATGTTATCTTGTAATTAAAGGCAAAGATCTGTTGAGGTCAAAATTAAAATCATGGTTAACCGTAGGGCACTTGCACTGTACTGCAAGTGTAGATTAGTAAATTATGTTTTCATTGTGGTACAGAAAATGGAATTCATGCTCAGAGCACGTGGAGGAAAAAATTAAAGCCTTTAGGCTTTCGCACTAAACAAATTACTACAGTGGAATATCCCATCATTTTGTAGGATCAGGGTGTCAGTACGAAGAGGAATGAGTGAGACTGCAAAGGGATGCACCTCTAAAAATGTTTAGTTTCCCAGGGCAAAGCTGGTAAAAGATATGTTTTTGGAATCTTTTGCCATAGACAGCATTGGTTTTTTGAAACTCTTCAGTATCTGATCCCTTTTCATTTTAAACTGTGTACAATTGTGTTGATTTGATGATAGTCCCTTGCACTTGCTTTTGTATTTCTTCTGTTGTACCTTCACACCACTGGTAGTTCTAGTTCTACTTTTAACTATTGTTAGAGTCAGCGGCAATATTGCCGCATTCTATTCCTTGGCTGGGACACTTAAGGGATGATATAGGGTCTTCTTTTTTCATCAGTGTCACTTATTCCAGAGGCCCACTACATTATGTTGCTTTCCATATATTAAGTTTCCAGAAGAGACGAATAGAATTTGAGGAGATTTTTGCTTGGATTGAGTACAGTCAAACTTTGCAACACATTGTCCAGAGAGGTTGTGCATTATCGGAGTCTGTTTTTGGAGGTTTTCAAGACCTGTTTGGCTATAGTCCTGAGCAGATTTGACTGATCTTATAGCTGACCCTGCTCTGAGCAGGAGTTTGGATAGGGACCTCATGAGGTTCCTTCCAACTGAATGATTCTATCGTTCACTTCAAGCAAATGCTGCTTCTTGGCAGCTCTATACAAAGGAATGTATCTGGAGCTGCCGAAGAGGAGGATATCCACAGCAGGTCTGCAGAAAGCAACAGCAGGCAGATGAGAAATGAAAAAGAACTTGGGGTAAAATCTGCTCATCATTCTCAAATCAGGTCTTCCAGCAGTTTATAGATATGCTGTCTGATAAATAATTGTTAGTGAACTTCAGAGTTTTTATCAAAAGCAGTCTCTGATTTCTAATATTGTTCTTCAGCTTATGTCTCCCAAACTAAGTGATGTGATTTAAACGAGGGGACACTCCTCAGAGAAAGAGATTGTGATTACCATGAAACCAAGAATGGCTTTTATTTCATGTTTTGCTTTTGCTTTTTCTTTTTTAATTTATATGCCAAATCAATTTCCATATATGTGATCATCCATTTAGATATGCTTTTTCATTTCTTTATATGGTAGATAACCACTAGTTGCACTTGACTTAGGCTGTCAAAGCCTTTTTTTTTTCCCCTCGTTATAGTGTTAATAGCAAGATTCAAAGTGTGTTTAATGCAACCTGATCTTTTTTTAAAAGCAAGGCAAGATTTGTGATAAATTGGTGGTGCCTTTGCCAAATTATATCTTAGAAAGATGCACCATATGTTTTGGAGATCTTGGCCTTCCTGGTGTCTTTTCAGTCACTTTCCAAATCGGTGCAATAGAAGACTGAATGCTCATTAATATTCAGTAATACTAATTTGTTTTTCATTTAGCCAGATATGCACATATATTATTAGAAATGTTTTTAAACGAGGTGATACTTGGTCTGGAATCTAAAGAAGCCTAATTGTTTGCCTGTGGGATAAAGCCAGTCTTAACTATCTCCCATGTTGAGGAGTTAAATTTTCAATGTATTCAAGTACAAGTGTACTGTAGTCAGAACACCTTTTAATTTTGCCTGTTTTATCTCCAATTATTTTTCAGTATTTCTCAGCTGGAAGAGTTGCCTAAAAAGGAGGGGAGATTCTGCATTTTTTTTCACATCATATGCCATATACACTTGTTATTTCAAAAAGATGAAATTTTAGATGCGACAAATAGGAGAATTGGAGGGAGGAGTGAGGAAAAGTAGAAGTTTTTAAAAGAAAGATAGAAGATTAAAAATGATATGACAGGCTATCTTTGGAAGTATTGTGTTGGCTAAAATCTAGTGAAGAAGAAAAGTAGTGAAGTATACAAGAAACAGGAAAATTTAAGTTGGCTTAAGAGAAAAAAAGAACTTTTATTTAGAAGTGTTTTCTTCTGACCATCAGCTTTTTGATGAACAGAGTTTTCGTGTGTCGGATTGCCCTAGAATCTAATCAGAGTTACTGCTGCTGGGACAGTGTCTCACTCGAAGAAGTGTACTTTCTGCCAAAAAGTTGTCCTTTTGTTTTGCAGAGATACTAAGGCTTCCAACTGATGCAGTGGTAATTGCTTCAATTTTCTATTCCCCCAAAGACCTTACCATTGTTTTCTGTCAGGCAAGAGATGGGATAACAGACAATACAATAGGCAACAGCCCATACAGAGCAAAAGATTCTCTGAGTGCTTTTGGGGAAAAAGAAAGAACCCTTCTTTAGATAGGCTTGCTGGTTAGTCTGCAGAGGAAAGTGCAAACTCCGGTTCTGTCCTACATACTTCTAAAGCAAATGCTAACTTAGAATTCTAACACTTTTTAAATATATATATATGTGTGTATATATATCTATATATTTCTCCTGAGCTTTGTAAACTTTAGTGTTCTGTCAACAGTCTCCGAATCAGTTGGAGTATTTTTGAGCCTGAATTTCACTTGCATTTTTTTTCTCTTTTCTTCCTGGGCATGGCTGGTGATCTATAGTGTGCTGCTTGGATGCTAGTAAAACGGGAAATCGGGTGAGTAATTTCTTTTGGCAATCTTTATACCACTTATGACCGAATCCTCCAGATTTAGAGAAAGGAGAGAGGCTCTTACTATAATCTTTTTTTCCAGCATAGCAGTAATGAGAAACTGCTCATTGCAATTGACCTCCTGAGATGTGTCTGTTAGGAGAAATTTATGATCAAGCAATTAATATCATATTTTCAACATCAAGATGGGTACTTTGATATACAGGTACTTCTAAAACTTGTGGAATATGTAGAGTTGTTTCATCTGTCCTTGGCCAGGATTGTTACTTATTTTGTCTCCTCAAAGCTAATCATTAAGAAATTCAAAATTGGGATGCGCTGTCCTTTTATTTGTTTTGCTTTTTTTTTTTGTTATTGTCCATAGCTTTTATTATCTGTTTGTCAAGTAAGCCAGATACATCTTGTGCACAGAAGACATCACAAGATACTGACCTTTCTGTTTTTTCAAAATATTAGGTTTAGCTTACTTTAATAGTGAATGAAAATTGTTAGTCAGATGATGGTGAAAAATCCAAAATTAATGTCCTTGACAAACAAGTTTATGTGTAAAAGAGGTTTCTGTTGCAGCTAAGTTGGAAGCTGAGACTTGAACAGGAATCACCTGGACTATCCTTTCATTCTTAAAGCTGTGCTTTATAAGTTTGTTCTTAAAAGACAGTAACTTAGAAATTAAAAGTACCTTAGAAAGTAAATGGAAAGAAAGTTTCTTTCATTCCTATGTCGTAATCTGTGATAGAAGAAATTGTCGCTGATGCTTTGAAAGTGTTCCTTTGGCTCTCTAGTTCAGTTGCTGTCTTTTCTAAGGCTACCATCCATTGTACCAATAAATTGGTGGTAATCTGTATCATTAATTGTGACTGGACCAGAGCTATCAAGTCACTTAATGCCAGCTATCAGAACTGGACACAGGGCAATGCCTTTGCTTCCCTGGGGAGAAACAGTAAAGTAAAACAGTAAGCCAGCAGAATGGTTTCATATGCTGTAGAGAATGCAGGAATCATTCTCTTCCAAGTGTTTTTTTCCAGGTATTTGGAGGTAGCATGCACTTTGAAAGAGCTTGCACTTCTGCATTAACTACCAAATCATTTTAGTGTACAACTTTTCATGTGCTTTACATCAATATAGAGTTTTTCTTTTTGAACTAAAGGAGAATGCTCATTCTGGGTAATTCAGCATTGCCACTTGTGTTCAGAAAAATCTAACTCATATATTGTTTTATAAGATTGAAAACTCTTTATTTTGCTGCTTGGATGCATGAACAACTAGGCATAAGATGGTTACAATATATAGTTACAGTTCATTACAAGATAGAATTCAATTTTTGTTTCTATAAGGATAATAGTAATCAAGCATAAATTTGTTTTGTGTTTTCTCCAGGTTCCATTTTCTAGAATTATTTTTAAAATGGCAGGCCACTCAGTACAGGGACAGTAGCTCTGAGATACTAATGTGTTGTAGTGAGAAAGATGTTAGTACAGTGTTTACAAGTTAATTTTGACCCTTCTTTTATTCCTCAGTGTTTTGATGTTAGTTTAAGGGCCTGATTCCTTGTCTACTCCCATTCCTGGCCAACTGAAAATGTGTAGAGCAATTTTGAATGCAGAATTGTCTCTCAGGGCAAGATGAAAGAAAACTCCTGGGCTCAAAGTCAGTTTAGTATACTGGATTAATTTTTGATGGAAGCCGTGTTGGGTGGAAGTATCATTCGGAGACACAGTCAAAGATGATGAGTCACAAGTGGATTGAAATCATTTAGTACTGTCTTCACAGGCATCTGCTCTTCTACATTTCTCCCTCCAAAGGCAAAGACACAGGAGTTGAAATGTTGAGAGAATCAGTTGTGCCCGTCCCAGAGGATCAACTGAGATTGTCATGTGGGCTTCTGTCTTTATGAATTTGCGTTGATTGGAGTTTGTGCCTCCTTTAATGAAGAGCTAGATGGTTCTCTTAACAAGAGAATACAAACATAAATGTGTATATATGTATTTCTAACAAAAAAACCACATGCATATCTCTGAGCTGTTCTGTGGGCTCTGAGGAAGCTTTTATAGCTTTGAATCTATCATGGAGCTATGGCCTGGGTTTCTGCAAAGCATGTTCCCACATAAAACAGAGAGAGGATCTATTTTAAAATTGTTAATGAAAGAAACATTGGCAAATAGAAAAAGGGCAAACCAAGGTATTTTTGGTTGGAACCTGTATGGGAGGCTTCTCAGTTGGCACAGGTGCTGCCCTGCAGGATCCAGATTCCCAGTTTACTTAAGCTGGACTAGCTCTTTTAGAAGTATCCTGCCTCCATCTGCATGTACTGCTGTCTTGCGTTAACACAATTGTTTATGTGACCAGCAAGAGAGCTGATCATTTAACTGATCTGACTGAAAAAATAACTTTCCTGGTGAGTTAGGATTCATTTTAAATGGAATCAGTGGACTGGTATGATTTAACATGCTATCTAGTGTCAGCATATGAAGGCTGACAGAAGTGTATGGCCTTTGCCAGGAAGAGACAACACAGTCTTATAGTTGCATGAGCTGATTGTAAAACTATACCCTTAGCTACTCCCAGCCAAACTCTGAAGTGTTTATCGGGAAGCCTTTTACCTGGAATCAATGACTGACCTTATAGCTTTGTAGTAATAAACACCTAGTTTATTAACTCTGTACAAACACTGAGTACGATCCCAGGAGATGATAGAACAGGCTTGCATTCTTCTGTGGCATGGTCTGTATGCCTAGTAGTTTGGTCCTGTTTATTTGTGCTTTGCTTGTTTGTCTAGGACTAGTTACTGAAGTTTGTGTTGGAATAGCATGTTGTATATCCATCTTGGAAAGACTCCTGTTCAAGTTATTGTTTCTTTATGCATGTGATTCAGAAAACTGGGCCTTTCCTTGGCAAAGGATGACATTGTTCAGCTGAAGGAAGCTTATAAGTGGATTATTCATCCCCAGTTGTCGGAAGAGTTGGGTGTTCCCGCTGATGGAAAGGTCCTGTATAAAAAAATGATTTTCTTTTCTCTCTTTCCTCTTCCTCTCTCTCTTTCTCTCCCCCCCGCCCCCCATCCCTCTCTCTCTCCCTTTCCTTGATCCTCTCATATTGATGAAGGTACATTCTCATTAAGCAATAAAAAAGTTGCACTCATGTTATCTTCACTGTAAGGAAAATTATTTTAACTTGAGATCTAGCTTCAGTACTGAAAAATCCCAATATACCTTTTTGTAGGCAGACCCCATTGCAATGACAGAAGCCACTGCAGTCTTTTACTACATCTCTGTTCTAGAGCAGCCGTCTTCCTTTTATCAGTGAGATTTCTCAGTTTTCTCATTTTCCAGAATCGCTGTTCTGCAGATGCTAAGGAATGCTTACATATTCCTTCGCGGACTTCCTGATTCTGCCTACACTGTTAGTGCATTTTCAGGTTGTTAGTGTGTTGTATTGCCATGTAGAAAAAGGGCAAACCAAGGTATTACTGGTTGGAACCTGCGTGGGAGGCTTCTCAAGTAGCAAGGCAAAATCTATTTGGGAAACGCTGAAGAACGAAGGACTGGTCCTTATTCATTTAATGACTTCTAGAAATAGGCATGTTGGAAGCTGTGATTGCAGTAAAGAGCTAGTAGGGATGCTATTTTTTTCCCCTATTTTCATATTTGATGTTTAAATTAACTAGACATTATGTCCATAGCTTTTACCTGTCTCCAAGCCCTAGAAGTGACCACAGAACTAGACTCTGTGTGTTGATTGTCAACTTCCATAACAATTACAGGTTGCTTTTTCCACAGGGTACCAATTGAATGCATCCTTTTTGTCTTAGTGAAGAGAGTTATCCAGAAGTTATCCTGAAGAGGATCCAAGAAGCAAACTTCATACATACTGAGTTAGCAGAAGCCGTTCAATGCTTAGGCACTGAGCAACTCCAGACACTATGATACAATAAAAGTTACTTGTCTAGTGCTCTTTATGTACAAGGCACTTGAATATTACCCAATCTCCTCAATAGCCCTCCTGAGATATCCTGGTATCTGAATAACAGAAGTAATGAGTGTTGTTTGCCTAAGGCCAAAGAGGGAATTGGAAGGAGAATTGAGATTACGCTGGAGTTTCTGGTCTAGCTGTCAATCTACTAGGACATGTTGCCTTTCTTTGCCCCAAGGCCATTCAATCATTGCCCACAAAGCCCTCCAACAACATTTTGCAGTGGTGGCTACTGAGGTTTTTTATTTTTATTCATGCAGTACCCTGCTCTCGCAGAAGGTTTGTTAAGTTTAGTGACTGTAGTAGGCTTTGAGCAAATACTGTCTCTTGACTCAGTTCCCCTTGTGCAAAATGGGGCCAGTATCTATGATGTGTTTTTATGTTTTTAAGTGCTCTGAGATCTTTGGGTACTGCAGAAATGCCAATGCTATCATGATGAAAGATTTATTGCCCTTTTTTAGATGCTGTTGCCGCATAAATGAGTTACTTTCTCTTTTGTCTACTTCACTGTTTTTCTAGTACTTCAATAAGGATGCTTGAACATACCCTCTCTATGCTTGTTTAACAAACTATTACCTTCCTTTTTTAATTTAGAGTTTGTTTGAAGTTAGCGTGGTCTTTGCTCATCCAGAAACAGATGAGGAGTGCCATTTTCTGTAAGTTTTAACATCAAAAATAAACAAAGATTTTTATCTAAATATTGTGCAACATGGTTAGTCTGGATTTGCAAATGAGAATTTGAAGTGTTTATAAACTAAAACTGCATCTGGATCTAAACTTCCTCATAGCCATATGGCACTTTCAAAGTCATTACTCTCTTCAATATAGGTGCATCATTTAAAAGAATAAATTCTAATAACACATTTAGAAGGAAAAAAACTCTTGAGGTGGTGTCTCGATTTTTCTGATCTTGTAGGAGACTTAGATAAGAGGGAAGGCATGGAAGTGAATTTATCTAACTTAGCTGGTCCATTACAAAAGGAAAAAAAGTCCCCTGACCACTGCATGTAGTCATTTTTGGGCTGTCAAAATAGAGCGTCTACTATTTTAATCCTTCTTTAATGCAAAAAAGCAAAATATTTCTGGGAATTTAGCTACCGTCTAATCTGATTTCTCAAAATCTAGCAGTATATTCTGGATAATTAGGTACCCTCTTCCTGTTTGCTGTTGCTTCCTGGAAAACAAGTTTCACTCAGTTTCATCACTTGTGCTCCTGCTACGTGTAAAATCCTGTCGTAGAAAGAGGCTTCCCTTAGAATTTCTCTGACCTGCTGCATGATGACTTCATATTTGGAGCCTCGAAATGATCTTTGGAGCCTTTCTAGATATTTCTGCGTTTACACCTTCCGACATTTTGTCATCTTTGCTTAAAAGACCCGTCTGCCACCTTCTTGCTTTTCAGAAACTGCATTCTTTTTATGTCTGGGGACAGGGAGCGGGGAGGCAGGAGTGTGATTGACCTGATACTAGGAAGAATTTATTGCCAGCGTCTGCTTGACTACCTTCCTTTCCAGCTTCTTTGGGGAAAAGGAAGAAACTTCCTTCCAGCTTTCTTCTGGGGAAAAAGGAGATAAAGCAGCAGGGCTAAATGGCAATTCGAAATACTGAGAGCTGTAGTCCAGTTAAAAACTCAGGTCTCCAGATCCTACACCTTTTTTGTTCTTAATTTTAGTCGATCAATTCTTGTTTCTTACAGTACTCTTTCTTTGAAACCTAGCAATTCATATTTCCACCTTTTCCTTCCAGGTATTTGCTGCTTTTTCTGACCTTTCAAAAATGTTGAGGCAAAGCAAGTTAGGATGCTAATGTCAGTCCCTCAAGAGCAGTAACTGGAGGGTAGAAAGCTATAAAGACTCCTAAGTTCTGACTCTCCAGTTCCATGCTCCAGCTGCTCACGTCTATTCCATGTAACTTGATAAAATCTGTCTATTTTGCCTTCTCTTTATAGCATACTGAAAAGTGATTAAGGCTTAATTAATTTGCTGTTTCTTCAGAAAACCTTTCATTGCATGGTGTTTTCTCAGGTATCAGGGCATGCCGTGGGAATGGCTGTCTCTGGGCAGATGATGGGGCAGCAGTTTGGTTTTGATATAAATGTGATAAGTTTGGTAAATGCTAGAACTTAAATAATAACAGGTGTGTTTGTTGTGAAAGGAAAGTAGGACCCCATCTCAACCAGAAGTCCTCCCAACTTTAGGTCTGCTTTTGGATTGGATTTTCAAAAACGGCATCTGCAATTTCTTCTCTTTCAAGCTGTTTTTATATAGAATCCTTGGCTTGAAGTGGAAGATTGAGTTGCCTCTTGTTAGCTTATTTTTGGAGATTTTTATTTAAAGGAAAAGTGATATTAGAATTCTGGAAGAGGGAAGTTGTAATGCTTTGTGCTACAAGTAACTTTCCTGGCCAGCTTGTGTAAAAACACCAAGGGGATGTTTGTTACATGCTTCCTTTCGATCTGGAGTAATTGCAGAAGTCTTGAAAAGGAGCAGTTAAAAATGCTAAACTGTGTTGTAGGCTAGAAATGATGTCTAATTGCATACGCAGAAATCCACTAATAAGAACAACTTCCTCTGCAGTACTCAGAAAGAGGTTTTTCTCTGATTTAGCTTTCACTTTCATGAAGCAGCCAATAGTTTCATTTGAAGAGTTTTGAAGAGGCAAAGCACAAAGCATCAAACACTTGATGTTACTTTTTCCTGTAGTAAATTGCATATTCCTGTCTAGAAGCAGCAGCTCGAATCTCTGACTTAGGTATGTCTAGTTTGCAGTGTGCATTGCCCAAGAGCAGCAAATACAGATTTGAAGAAGTCAGCATACCTTGCCAAGGAGCTAAGCGTTAGTCACCACTGTTGTTGACAAGGATTAAGAAGGACTAAAAACTAAACTTCTTGTGCGCTTTTCCGTCCCATTTCAAAGCTGATGCAGCTGTGCTGCTTGGAGCAAAAGATGCTTGCTCAGCTTTATTCATGATTTATGTGTCTTCTAAAATTTCTAGATCAAGTAACATAAACTCACCATTTGTGGTTTAAGATAAAGTTCAGTTACAAATCTGCTCCACTGTAGAGGTGAGATGTTGGGCATTTCTGTACAAAGATTAATGTAGTACTTGCTGTGCTTATATGCTTTTAAGTCTCTCTCTTTTTAAGAATAACAACTAATTTTAATTTTTGTATTTAGAGCCAGAGCCTGTCCAGATTGTTTCAAACCAGCGAAGAACAAGCAGGTACAATCTCATTGCACTTGCAGTTCTCTGCAATTCAGAATTTCATGGCAGGAGGTATATTGAAAAGCTGGATGATTGGAACAACAGAGTAGTGGTTAGTGGGTTATATGCTACCTGAATACCTATGGGAAGTGCAGTGCCACAGGAATCTATCCTGGAATTTGTCCTATTTAACATATGTATCAATTAATTGGAAGAGATTGCAGAATGCATTCTTGTCAAGTTTGAAGGTGAGACCAAATTGGGTGCTAGGGGACTGGAGTACGTGTCCTAGGAGAAGAGACTGAGGCACTTGGGCTTGTTCAGCCTGAAGAAGAGAATACTTTGGGGGGAACCAATGGAAGCCCCCAGGACCTACGAGGGCTTACGGAGAACAGGGAGCAAACAGCACACTGTGGTGTGTTGTGGGAGGATGAGAAGCAGTGGGCATAATTTGGAAAAGAAGAGGTAGAGACTAGATAGAAGGATTTTTTATTATTATTATTTTGCCACGAGGACAGTCAGACAGTGGAGTGGCCTACCGGAAGAGGTTGTGTAGCCTCCATTCTTGCAGATGTTCAAGAACAGACTGTGAAAAACAAAACAAAACAAAACATGAGCAACCTGGTTCGATCTCAAAGAATAGGTGACCCTTCTTTGAGCAAGAGGTGGCTGAGACCTGTGGTTCCTTCCAGCCTTATCGTCCCATGACTTGGCAGCCTGCAGTGGCCTTGTTTTGGCAGTGGGCCAGCTGCAGCTTTGTGTCAGGCTTTCAGTGTTTTTATTTTTTCCCCTTTAAAGACAGTGAGCTATTTTCTGTTCATCAGGTGATTTTTTTCTTTGGGCAGCGTCATGGCTGTTTCATAACAGGCATGCTCCCCTGCTTATCCAGTTTCTTCTCTCTGTGTGAAGTAGGATATATATTAGCCCTGGCAAGTCTGCTTTCCTGTACAAACATGTTCTGCTCTGAATTTCCAGGGCTGCTTTGCTGTCTGTGACAGAAGTTCTCAAATTTTATTGCCTTGCATATCACCACCAATGCCTGCAGCAGCGATTCCTATAATTTCCCAAACAAGAACTCCAGTCCTGTGTTTTCATTTACTGTCCCAAATCTACCTAAAGCAGGACAGTACCCCAAACCCCTGTTACTGCTCTTGTTTCTCCTATACTAGAACTTCAACATGGTTTTCTCTGTCTTAGCCTCAATGAATTGGAAACAACAGCACCTGACTGTGTATGAAAGGATGGTAGTAGCGGCAGGAGCATCTCACTCAAGTCACTTGCTTTCCATGGTTCATGAGCTGCTAAGCTTTAACATTCAGCACTCTTATTTCTGAGCATGAATGAAGTTAAGAACTCTGTAAATGGATTTTTGCTCAACAGTCTTATTTTCAGAAGAACTAGCTACCTACTGGCACTGAGATAAAAGTTAGGATTTAGGTGCTTAATCCTTTGAAAATAGGGATGGTAGTTTAGGTGCTACTTTTTTTTGTTGTTGTTCTTGCTTTTGCGTATTTTGATATATCATCTGAAATGATGATCTCTTTCTAGAGATCTACTTAATGTTTCTTTCAGCTAGCCAAGGGCAGACTTAGCAACTGAATATCTTAAGGAGACCCGCTCAGAGTCAGTGAAACGTAGCTTTTTTTCCTGTGAGAAAACAAACAATACTGTTCATACATGTCATCTATAAACAGGGGGCAAACTAAAGATACTTGTTCAAATCCCAACTCTCACTTTGGCACTGGTTTAAATATACAGCTTTTGTCTCTCCTAATTGTATTGCTTTCATGTCATGAATAAAGTGACTCAAATGTATTTTGGAAAAAATGTTGCTTTGTATGGCCCTATTAAAGTTAGGATTAAGAACTCTTGTTGATACAGAGCTGCTTTTAGGCATAAGGAAATGTGAAACACAATTAAAAAAATGTATTGTGAGAAGTGTGTAGTGTTTATGGTGGTTTTTTTCCTCTTTAGGCATATCCTTTCTAAGCTTCTCTTTTTTTTTTTTCTTGACTCATTTTTTATTTCACTGTGCAGTCTGTTTTCACTAGAATGGCAGTTATAAAAGCCCTGGAGAAGATAAAGGAGGAGGATTTTTGCAAGTAAGTATACATTGAAACTGTTGTTAGGATGGGGAGGAAAATATTAGATGACTAAACAGTGCGCAAGATACCTATAAAAACAGTTTTAACTGTTTAAATTCTATTAGTATATCAGAATATATTGCTGTTTCTGTACTTTTGATGATAATAAAATGCCCTTCCGTATCCTTTAAGGATTAGTCTAAAAATGCTTGAATTAAGCCACAGAAGATAGGCAGTTGTACATGCTGAAAACAAAGGTCTTTTCCATTTTAGAAGAAGTGGTTCATTGGTTTATGGTTCACTAGTTTTATCAGGGTCCTCACAGGGGAGAAATTGTGGGTCAGAGCACTACAGCTCCACTCTGTGCTTTCAGCAGTGTGTCCTTATGGGTCTCTGGTTTGGCATGGAATTTAGAATGATTTGAAAAAAAAAATAAATTTTGTTGTGGTATTGCCAATCATATACATTCAAAAATCTTTATTTACATCCCCAAATCATAGAAGTCTTTTACAGACTGCGGAATTTTCCTTCCATGTTTTGAACCTTAGAGATTGTAAAGTAAAATTCTCATCATGAGACTGACTTGTTTTTCTCATATATGTAAAATACTGGGAGTTAGATATTAATAAAGCACCAAATATTGTAATGGAGTAAAAATTCCAAAAATTATTGGCTCACTTAGGGGTATTATGCATCAAGAATACTGGATGATATATGGATAGAAGTGTGTTTTGCAATGCAGTGTTGTTGATTTGCTTAAAGTTGATTTGATTATTGGTGTTACAGCTTTTAATGTAAATACTGAGTTTATACCGTAGCTGTGTTTTGTGTAACTGAAGACATCATATGTCATTTTTGCTACAGTGATTGCCCATCATGTTCTAATATTACTCGTCTGTCTTCCACCTTTTCTTATACAGGCATTTTTCATGTCCCCCAAGTTCACCAAAGAACTATTGTGTTGCTCTGGAAATTCAGTGCAGTAATGGTGCAGTTTTTGTGGCTGGTACGTGATCCATTTTTTTTTGCTGTTGTGTTGTCCTAACTGTATAATATTGCTATAAGATCCAGGAGACTCTATTTGCTGTTTGTTCTTGTGCATTTAATTATATGTAAGGAGCAAGAAAACCCACAAGGCTAGCTCTGTCCAAGGGTGGGCTTCTGTTGAAAGGGGAAAAAATAACACTTATGCTACCTTTGCTGGAGAAATGTTTGTGTCAGAAATTACAGATCAACTTGTTAAAATCCATTCTGTTTATCTGCTCTTTTATTTTGAATTAGCTCTTAGAGATGGTGGACACGGTTGGAGGGGCTGGGAAGTGTAGACAGCTGTGTCTGGAGCAAGGCAGGGCTCCCCTGCGGCTCCCATATTCGGAGCTGGGGCAGGGGAGCATGTCCCTGTGTAGGTCACCATCTCCTTCCTGTGCAGTTCGGAAGCTCCCGCTTTTCCATGCCAACGTCCTTCTTTTGCTATCACTGCTGAAAGAGCTCTCTCTTCTGAAGATAGCACAGGCAGATGTGAAGATTTAGCAACTTCCTTTACCCCCTTGCTGATTAGGAGGCTCAGCCAGAAGCAGTTTATGAAATTAAGTATTTTATGCTGTTGTCAAAGCTTGCTTTTTCCTTGGAAGAGCCCTTATTCCTGCAAATCTTGCAGTTGCAACATGAACCCTGATGATAAGTACACGGTTTGGGAAAGGCACTGCCCCAGCAAATAAGCTCCAGCGAAGCTGTTCACTTGCTTGGACTTTGATTTGGATGCAGCCGTGTTCACCATCTGGATCTATCTGCGTATTATTCCAGCTAAAACTGCTGATCTTAATGCCATTAATAAAGGTTAATTTACAGAAAGCATAGCTGTTTTTGGTTACTCCTCCAAATTAAGATGGCATCTGAAATAATTACTAGTCTGATATGGGCAATGCAACATCACCGCGCATCCATGAGCACTGATGATTCTACAAACTTTTCCATCATCCACCTAAAAGAGCGTCTACCTTCTCCCAGCCCTATGCATAAGCAACCCATTATTTAAATATATGCGAATGACTGGTTATTTTTTTACAAACCCTACAATTTTAATGCAATATAGTATGTTTAAAAGGATGTTAAAAATATCCTGAATAAAAGAAAACATAGAATGAAAAGAGAATAATGCAAAAGTGAATGTTCTCATGCAAGCTGGTTTGATGTTCATGACATGTCTGTTCCTTATTTTTAATTACTGAATAGACAGTTAAATATGCATTTTTGTGGACTCAAAATAGCCAAATCTTTTAGCCTTTTCCAAACATGCTGCTTTATATCAGGTTGGTGTGTTGGAGGGCTGCAGCAGGATTCATATATATGGAGTAAGAGAGGCTTGGCTTTCTGCATGTGATTTAATTTGTTTGTGATTTACATGTTATAGACTGTGATAGTAATTTTCTTTCTTCCTTTCCTCCTTTCTTTTTCTTCTTCATTTTCTTCTTCTTGCTTCTACCACTAAAACCAGGATATTTTCTTTAATTTATGAGGAATTAAGTCCAGAACATAAGAATGTATTTGATACAATACAGTTATTTTGCTATTGCAGCACTTTAAATGCAATCAGGATCTTAATATGTAATCAGGATCTTTCAGAGCTAGAATTGCCTTGTTGACCTTATCTTGGATGTTTAACTGATCCCTTCCCCTTGACTCTTTTTTTTTTTTTTGACTCAGGAAAACTGTCGAACTGTGAAACATCTTTTTTTTTTTTTAACCCAGTGTTGCTCAGATCAAAAGTTAAAATTATTAGATTGAGTTGGTGAGAGAAAAATATTTTCCTTTTGCCATTTTATGGAAAGAGAATTTAGCAGTGTGAATCTGACTTACAAATGATTATTCATAGTAATTTCATTATTTGCCTCAGTGAAACAGTATTAGTCAGATTGCCCATTTGTTTGTGCAGGATTTTTTTGCAGATCAAAAGGCAAAAAGGAAGCATTGTTAGAAATGGGAAAATATGATACTGAAAAACAAAAAAATGAGAGGACAGAGGCATAGGTATAATATGCATAGATACTTTGAACTGCCTTTTTATTTTACATAGACTGGGTTTCAGATTGAAACTTGTTAGTGGAGGGGGTTACTCATTAGTTTTTATGAATGACTTTGTTCTTTTGTGCATGTTCTTATTTCTTACAAAGCCTACAGATAAGAAAGCTTGTCTTGGTCATCCCTGTCAGGCTTGTTCTCTGATTGCAGCAGTCTCTGCATTTCATGGGAGATGCCATGTTAATCTGAGATAATATGAGAATAGGATGCTCATCCCTTTAGGTGGTAATGTTTCAAGCTTCTGGGAATTTGTTCTAGTGTATTGTTAAGATATTTTGCTTGTGTGATTTTCCTAGTAACATGCCAAAGCATTTTAGTTTGGGCTTTGTTGTTGTTAAATGTACAGGAAATGGCAGAACCTATGTTGAAACCTGAACTACTTGATATGGAGTGGTGGGAACTTCTTTATTTGGGACCCAACATTCGTTGCTGGGCAGGCGTATGTATAGCGATAATTCGGTGTATTGGAGACTGGTTCAAGACCATGCTTTGATTCAAAAAAACAAATTTGCATTCAGAATAAAGTTGTCTCAGACTGGGCACTTGAACCTCTGGCTTTTCATTATAGTTTTGTCAGACTTTATACAATTTTGTTTCTATGACTGTGCTGGAAGTTGTAACTACAGCCGTAGGCTCCACGTGTCTACCCTCAAACTGGCCAGCTCAGAGGCTGAACCTCTTGTAGATGTAGCAGCACACGTTTCATGTCGTTGCCATAGTACTCTTGTTGTAATGCAAGTTTACCCCTGTAAATTTATTTTCACGCTGCCCATGTGAAAGCTAAGTGTTTTGTGCTGTGAAGCTGGAGCCCATTGCTCTAGAGTGATTACTATTAACATCCTTGTTTTTCTAACAGGAAGATACAATAAATACTCAAGGAATTTACCACAAACCCCCTGGATTATTGATGGGGAGCGGAAGCTGGAATCTTCGGTAGAAGAACTGATTTCACAGCATCTAATGGCAGAATTCAAAGCAGACAGTAAGTGTCCAGGAGATCTCTTGCAGTATGTGTTTTTCATTGTTACTAGAATACTTAATATAAGAGTACACTGGAAAAACTAGATTCTTCTTTTATCCTTTCAAGCCAAACTTGTCAACTTTGTAAACTCTGATCTATAATCAGATGCTTGCTTTTTTATGTAGTACTTTTATGTAGTACTTTTATCTTTCTAAAATATCCTCTCAGTTGATCTTATGTGCAAGTGTTATGGTTTTTTGTAGTAGTGTTCATGCAGTGTCTTCTAATCAGAAAGTTTTTCTTTTTGGGTACCTGCCTAGCCTCCAAACCCTTCATGTTTTTGTCTTGATGAACTTATTTTTTGCAATGCCTGAAGTTACAAGCTAAATGCTTATCTAGTGGTTGCTCAGATGAAATAATAATTGCCCATCATTTGCCATCAATTAGGTCTAGAATTAGTGATTTAGAAGGTCCAGGAAAAAGTTGTATTAAATGCCAGTTTAGAAAAAAGCAGCTACTGTCATTTTACCCTCCTCTCCTCTTGCGTATGTTAGTCTGAATGCTAGGAAATAATATGTCTTTAGGCCAGATATAGTGCAGTGCCTGATTTACCACAGGTAACTAGCAAAAGTGCATGTGCACAGGTGCTGAGAAAAGATACAAACAAATAGGAAAGGCACTGCCAGCACGTCAAGGCAGGAGACCCTTTCTGTCTGCACTGGTGAGGCTGCACCTGTAGCGCTGTGTCTAGGGCTCCCCGGTACGAAAGAGACACACACGTGCTGGAGGAATCAGCAAGAGGTTAAGGGCTTGGAGCATCTAACACAGGAGAAGAGGTTGGGAGCTGGGACTCTTGTGCTGCAGAAGGGAAGCCTGAGGGGGGAACTTATCAATATACCTGATGGAAGCGGGAATTCCTTTAGGATTCTGCTGCTTTTTCACAGATTTTCAAAGCTCTGGTGTTCTCATTCAGGCCAAAATACTAGAAATACTCAAGAAACTTGTGAATCTGAAGGAATAAACGGTATTTTTCCTCTGATTTGTTTAAGTATGATACAGGCTACATTTATAAGGTTAACTCTTGGACGTGTCTTTACAAACAAGTTAAGAAATAAAATATTTCACCTTTTAAAAGCTGTGGAGAGTTTTAAAAAGGTATATTGGAATCTCACCTTCCTTGTTGTAATCTATTGCAGGTTTTAATTTTACTTCCTCTGGAAGAGAAGATGTAGATGTAAGAACACTAGGCAATGGTAAGGCTGAAATTCTCTTCTTAGACAGAGAAACAAAATGATTAGATGGAGCTACTCTGATAGATCTTGCTCAATGTGAAGTATTTAAGTGTGTGAATAGAGAGTGCTCTGAAACTTTTCTCTCAGAAGCGTTTTAGTTATATGTATGTATTTATTCCCAAAGACAGAGTGGTTTCATTGAAAGAACTGGGGAAGAGGAGACCTCTGTTCAGTATCCTTGGCTGCACAGATGCACATAATTGTGTAGCTTATTAAGAATATTTTATTTATTTCCTTTTTCTGAACTGTTTGTCCCCCTGATTCCTGTGTTGGTTTCTCCTGAGTCCTCCTTTGCTTCATGGTCACTGGGGTCTAGGGAAGCCTTATTTTCTTTTTGAACATAGCTCCTTTCTAAAAGTCACTTGCTTTCCAGTGCGCTGAAGCCGCTGTGGCCAAATGGGGAGAGGGGAGAAAAGACAAAAGTTAACGAGTTGTTCCGGTTGCTGTCTGATTTGCAGCACAGCTCTTGGCATTGCTTATACTGGGAACATCCCTGGCCCTGAGCATGGAAAGTGCAGCCATTGCAACAGATGTTTAGCTGAGGGAGCGGGATTTAACATTGTCTTGCACCTGGGCATTGCTGTAGGTGACAGAAAATAAGCTAATTAACTTTTTCTTCTTATTTTATTTTTTAATTAGCACAGACTTGTACAAGATGTCTTCTGGGAAGTTGTAATTTGCACATATTGCTGATACTGGGGTTTAGTAGCCAAAAAAAAGTCCCTTGTTTCTTTCCTTCCATCTGATGCTACATCCCTAAACCCGCAAGCCCTATCCCTGTTTGCATAACAGCAAACAATCTTCACACCTTCTAACCTTACTGCATAAATGCAAATGTTAATTTAGAACAACATGTTTTTATGTTTTATGACTGTGCACGTTGCCAGGAAGGCCCTTTGCAATTGAGCTTGTGAATCCTCGTAGAATACATTTCACTGCTGAGGAAATGAAAGGACTTCAGCAGGTAAATCATTTGCACCTCATGGAACTCATAAAGCACATGCTTCTTCTCTAAGTGAGCAGCTTTGCTAACTGATTCTTTTTTAAATATCACAGACAATTAATAACTCTTCAGACAAAATACAGGTTCGAGATTTACAGCTTGTCACCAGGTCAGTATTTATCATCTTTGGCAAGGGATTTCAAAGTGGCGCTTTGGGATTCTGCAGTCATTCTTGCTCATAGCATTATATAATTATGCTTATGCTAAGTGATTAATTACTTTCTTTTGTTTAGAGAGGCAATTGGACATATGAAGGAAGGTGAAGAGGAAAAGACAAAGACCTATAGTGCCTTAGTATGGACAGACAAAGCAATACAGAAAGAAGATATTGTATTTCTAGATCATCTGAAGGTATCTGAAGCTAATTTTCCAGAGCACCTGTCTTGGTATCTTAGAGGAGAATTAACATACATGCATCCACAAAGATATCTGGTTCTTCTTAATATTTTAATTGGATTCTTTTTGCCCTAGGGACTTTCATATCTCCCTTCCTTTTCTCAATCTTCCTTACTTCACCATTGCCATATTACCAATATAGCTATCTGTTAGCCAAGAGAACAAATTATTGTCTACTGGAAAGTAGATGTTATTGCAAATAGTAAAAAGCACTGAATGGGCAAGAGGGGAATCTGACACCCACACCCCTTCAAGTGGCTTAGATTTTCTGTTTTGATTAAGTAAAAGGAGTGAAGATAGTCTTTTGTTATTCTAACTCTAAAGCCACTTGTCCACAGCAGCAGCAATTAGGAGCTTGGGAAAATACCAGAAAGAAGAGGCTTGGTGTAAGAAGAATATTTTGTTAATGAGAACCTCTCCAAATGTTGGCCAGAGAGAGACTCCACTGACAGTGGAGACAGAGGGAAGTGTTCAGATTTCATTGTGTTGCGCTATGGTTCTTGGCCATGAAATAATTCTCAAGTAAGGAAGCAAAGGGCTTGAACCATTAGAATTCAGGAAAACAACAGATATGAAGCTTTTTTTTTTTTTTTAGCATGCCCACCCTTGCCTTAAGGGTTGTCTTTCAGACTAATGCATCTTATTTGGAGGAAGGAGTAGGGTGGAGAATCAGTTTTTTTAATCATGAAATCTTACCTCATTTCAGTTCTTTTCTCACACTTCTATTTTTTTTTCGAGAGGGTTGGCTGTAGTTTAGACAAAGCATTTTGTGAGTGGGTGTTTTTTTTTCCTTTTTTTTTTTTTTTCTTTTTGGATTGCCCTGAGGCTCTCACTGAGCTTTTAAATCCTGGAGTTATTCCAGCAAAAGTCTATGGAGATTTCAAGGTTATTCCTCTGTATTTGTGATTCTATTAGCTTGTGTTCATATGAGGCCTTGTCTCTTACCCTTTGAGATAGTTGTCTTTTTTCTCCTTTGATAAACATGAAAAAAAAAAACTTCCTGGGGAAGATTTGAGCCATCATAATACACTATTAAAAAGAGATAACTGATTAACAGTGGGTCTGGATCTTTTTTTCTAGTCTATGTGGTATGTTGCACAGTTCTGTCGTCATTTGTTTTCTTGCCTCTCCTAACAGGAATTAAAACTTGACCAGAAAACACCGCTGCGGGTGCTTCACAGAAGGCCTCTGGCTGTCAGGCAGCGGATCATTCACACTATGGAATCTGAGTACATAGATGAGCATCATTTTCGCCTGCATCTGAAAACTCAAGCAGGAACGTATCCTTAGACCCTATTGTCCAATATATGTACAAAATTTGGGCACTAGAGTAATTCAGGCAATGGAAGTTTTCTGTTTGTGTCACTCCAGTGTTTCTAAATCCCTGCTCTTCAGCAGTTCATAATTTTCTGTATAATGTTTGTGTTTATTTTCAAAATTTCATATTTGGGCTTTCATTCAAAAAATCTTACAAGCTACTTTCTGATGAACAGTGTGATAGTTTTAAACCATACGTTACTGCAAAAATGTACTAGTTAAGGATACATTTAAACCCTTTTTGTTTTAATTTAAAACAATTTTGCCTTAGAAAGCAAACTTTTCCACGTAACTCAGCATATTACAATGCATGCTGTGTAGATTGTTGCTACAAGTTAACTTTTGTCATAAAATCACCATCCATCTTGGGGTGGACAGAATACATAGGCTGGCAATGCAGTTCTTGGCACTAGAGTCAGAAGTCAAGAATTAGGAAGTCTTATAAGGGCTTTTTTAGCCATTGCCTCCCGCTGCTTCCCCCTTCCCCTTCAGAGTACTTTGCAGTACAAAGCACCTTTCCTTAACCAGCGTTTCTAGCTACATTAAAGAATTTGTACACGGAGATTTTGGAAGAACAAAGCCAAATATTGGCTCGTTACTGAATCGAACTGCTGACATTCTGGAGTTGGACGTAGAAGTAAGTTGCTTCTTATTTATGTTCCCTGGAAATCAGTGATGTAGTTGGATTTGTGGGATACTTTCAGTAGAACTGCTCTATCCAAATTAACTGTCCCAACTATCCATTCCTTACCACAGTTGGTACAAAAGTTGATTTTAGTGCAGAGAGAATGGTTTGGACCATGCTCACATATTAGATACATATATACATACATCATTCTTTCTCTTGGAATTTTAAAAAGGAGTTGGATGAAAAACAGGAGTCTTTTGACTTCATCTTTCCATACCAGTTCAAACAGCAAGAAAATATATCTGTTTTCTTCCTGGAAGGGAATGCTAACTTGTAGCTACAAAATTCATAGTTCAAAAGAATGTACGCAGCAATTCGGGTTTATTATTAACCTAATGGTTGGGCAAGGTTTATTTAAAACACGATTATCCCTGTGAAGCAGACAGTGTCAGCTTGCTCGTAACACAGAGGCAGTTCTGCAGAAATACATGAGAACATCTGCTGTGGCAGGTAGGCTTGCAGTTGTGGAGGAAACTTGTGTTAGCTCTGAAGATTTGAGCAGCTGCCTGGGCTGCAGATGACAAGCATTGCCCTCACATGGATAGGTGTCACTGCAATTACTGGACATAACTGTGAAGGATATCTAGGGTACTTGAAAATAATTGGCAATCTTGCTAACAATGCATTTTGGCTTGGTCTAAGAGCTTAGTTCTTTGATGAAGTTGTAGATTAAGTGAGGAGTAGCTGTGATTGATTTAGGTGGTCTTGAAGCCAAAGTGTTTAATGTGCCATATTGTGATCCCTGCTTTGACAAATGGTGCTGCTTCCCTAATGTAGGGTGGCTGCTTTTGGAAGAGGGGGAGCATAACAAGCTTGCTCTAAAGGGCGCTGGCGGTGAGGCAGCAGCGAGGCCAGGACAGAAGATGTGATCCCAGTTCTAGTAATGACTCCATTTGCTTTTCATTAAGTGTTGAGCACATTCTGCGCATTTTGGTCCGCAGTCAGGCCGACTGCTTAATTGCCTTGCCTGTGCATAACACTTGCCAGCCTAGTCTTTTCAGGGAGTTGTGCTTGCTAAAGAGACAGAGCTGGGGACAGGTGATGGCTTTCTGCTGAAGTCTTGCACACACTGCCTGGATTTTTCTGCTGCATCAGTCAGTTGTTCTCACATCATCACAGCACATGTGCAGGATTTTCTGGCAGAGGATGCCAACACTTCACATTTCTGAATAACTGCTCTGGACACTTTGCAAATGCAGCCCTGCATCAGTTGTCTATGGGAGCAGTAGTACCAGCAGTTCTGGTTCTGCTTCAGGAAGAACATCCAGTGTCCAGGGAGTTCTCTCCAGGCACATACAGAGCCCCTTGAGAAAGGTGGCTCTTTCAGATACTGTCTCCTTGTCTTGTGCTGTATCTCTCATCATTGACTCTGCTCTCCGCTGTTAACCTGTAGTTGGACAGGCATGGAGTTCTAGCAACAAGTCTCACTGTTGTCAAAATGCCAAATCTGATTTTGCCTTCCCCGTCCCCCTTTTCTTCTAGTCTGTTGATGTTGACTGGCCTCCAGCCCTGGATAACTAGCTTTTCAAGTTGGGACAAGGAAGAGCAGCTCCCGTGTCAGCAGCTGGTTACTGACAGAACATTGTGCAGTTTTGCAGCTTGGTTGCTCATTGCAGAGTCTTTGTGCTGAACATTTGGATCATGTTGATCTGCCAAAAGGTGACGTTGCTTTGAATTGACTTTCAGCACTCTGGAACAGGTAGTGTTGGTTTGTTTAATCTCTAGCCTTATTTTAGTTTCTGTCTTTCATAGAAGAATTGGTAAGCTAGTGTACTGGTAGCAAGTCTTTTAAAAGTAATTATTTGAGAGAAACACAAGTGGTGTAAAATGCAAAAAAGGTACTGAGTGAGACACATCAAATAGGCTTTCTGCAGGACTGCCTGAAGACATTTAAATTGAACATAATCTTCCCTCAGATCTTTTTATTATTATTTTTATATCAGATGTTTTTATATGGGTGGCTTTCTTGTCAGGGTAAAAGTGGCACCGGGCTGTGTGAAGGCCAGTGCTAGCACCTGCTGAGCAGCGCTCGTGCGTGGCTGTTGGAGGCCGGGCTCCTCGAGGTCAGGCAGACTCTGGGAGCCGGGGGGTAGTTGCTGCAGTGAGGTGACACTGTGCTGACTGCTTTTTGGTCCCTGGCTCTTTCAGAGATGCACAGATTTGTCTCTCAAAGTAACTGTCAGAGGGAAAAACAGTTTTCATGTGAAAAGTTTGCACTGAAAACGTAGGTCTTTCTTTGTTCTCAGTTTAAAATATTAGCGATGCTTCCTAGGAACTACAGTTGAGGTGCATTGGGCCTATAGTCTATTGGCTGTTTGGCTCAGTTGCAGTCCTCTTCATGCACAGGATTTCCCCACTGTTGAGTCACCATATATAAAAAGAGCGGGTATTCCTGGCAGCGGTATATGATGGAAATCCAGAGAATAGGGATACAGAGAAGCCAAAAGTGCAAGTAAATAATAAAGTGTAATGTAAAATATTGGTATTGAGAGATAAAGGCTTTGCTGTGTCTGTGGTGTAAATATTTTAAATATCTTGTACGGAGCAGGGCAGTCTCCAAGGGAGAGTCCAAAAGCCCCAGCCCGGAGGAGGGAAAGGACTGAGCTGCGTGCCCAAAGCTGACGAGGGGAGAGGGCCCGTCCTCTTACCCGCACAGCCAGCACCCAGCGGTGCAGGAATCTGGCTCATTAACCTAGCAGGGGCTGGGCAACTTTTATGCCTCTATCCTGTTGCAAAGCCCAAAAAGGAATTAAAACTATATATTGTATTTGATTAAAAACGGGTATAAATATAATGTAATAAAATGCAATCCATTGTTAATGTGCAAATGCATTCAGAAGATACTTCTGCTCACCTGAAGCACTGAAGAGAGTCCACAAGAAATGAAGGTTTGGAATTTAAGGGTTAATGAACAGTCTCAAGACAAGCCAACATTTGGGGCTTTTATCATTGAGATCATTGGATCACTGAGATGCTTCGCCTCCAATTTAATGGTGCTGGGGATTCTTAATAGTAAAAAAGAGCTGCACAATGTTAGCTGAAGGCTCAAGACATGACTACAGAGATTTTAAAGGAGCTCCTAAAAACTGCTTTGGAAAAGATAGTCTAAATATTACCCACATTGCCTATGATGGGCCTCAAAATTTCTGTCATTGCTTGTTCAGCAAAACAGGTCTGCTGCAAGCCTGCTGTGACGTAAGTATAGCTGTAGTTCAGAAGCGCCTCTTCTTTTTCTAACACACAAATAAGTGAGAGGAGTATGAGCAGACAGCAACATTTATTGTTTTTAATCTTAAAGCTGTTATGAGCAAGAGATTCCAGCAGCAGCTGTGTCAGATTATTATCTGTGTAAGTAGCTACAACCACCTAGAAAGGAAGTGATCAGGTAGAAAACTTAAACGAAACAAAAAATTAAGTCTCATAAATATGGGATTTCTGGAAAGAAACTCAGAGGTAGATAGAATACAATTTTTAAAGTGACAGACATTAGAAGGGCTGTCCTCGAAGTGAAACAGGGCCAAAATGCAGCAGCAACAGGGGCTACTCACTGCTGTCGTAGTGTGAGGACACCGGAGCTCTTACTTTGGGCTCTGTCTTTATGTGCTAGAGGGGGCCATGACAGTGAAGACCAGCTAAGATTCAGCATGCAGGTAACTGAGGCTGTAAGGATTAGTGTAAGTGTGCAGAGTCTCATCTCATCGTCATGCATTGTAGAGAGCTCCATCAAAAATGTCTAAATCACATATTTTCTGTGATTAAATCTGAGGCATCCAAATGAGGAGGGGAGGGGGAAAAAGCTGAAAATGCAAATGCCTGTCTGTACAGCTGTTCAGATTGTTCACTGATTGTTCAGTAATCAGGGGAAAATATGAAAATTAGAGATACAATCTGTTTTCAACTTTGTTTAAAGTCTGCAGTTTTAATAAAGGAAGATAAATACTTTGAACTGTCATAATCTATAATAGCAACAGTGGTACTAATGTTGTAGTTTGGTCCTCATCTTGTTTTTCAAGTAAAATACCTATTTGTGATACACAGTGAATTAAATAGGATGCTTTGTGAGGCTAACGAGCAAGATTTAATCTCGCTCTTGAAGAGAATGTATGAAAGAGGTAAACATTTTCTTGCGCATTGTGTGGAAAATGCTGAAAAATAAGGTCTGAGCGGTGTTTTTTAGTATCATTCTTCATGCTCCAAGCACTCAAGTCTCTCTCCAAACAATTGGTCACTTAAAAGCATCCTCCTAGATTTTTTTAATCACTTTAGCTGAGCTTGGAGATTTAGGAGAAAGCAGTTTGCCAAGGAAGATGCTTGAATGCAGCTGCACTTCGTGGACTTCCTGAGAAAAAGAATGATGAAAGCTGAACCCCTCTGTACCCCATGTTCTAGGTTGTGTAGCAATCACCAGGAATTGTGTGCAGAATAAAATACCCTAGAAAGCCCCAGGATAAACAAACCCAAACCAGCTTCTCTGATTTCTGTGGCTTTTCTAAGGCAGGGGATATCATTTTAAACTTGAGGAGGTTGCAGAAGCCGAGTAATTAATGATGATCAGTTTTTTTAATTACCAAACCAGCTTGTTTACAAAGGAAAACAGAACATTGAAAATATTTAATTATACAACAAAAACAAATTATACTATAGAGCCTATATAAATGAGCAAAATGTTTACATTAATAAAATTGAGAACTTCAAAAAAAAAAAGAGAAAAAACAACACATTTTAAGCTTTCTGCTGTTCTTTGTATTTCTTTGGTTTTTGTATTGCTTGAGACTGATGAAGAGCTCCTGAAAAGGTAGGTGTTTTGAAGACATGAGGAAAAACTACTTTTAAAGTATGAAGTCAGTTCACTCCATTGTGTATCTGGAGTTATGGGAACAGTTTTCCATGCTTGTTCTGTTTGTATTCAGCCTGTGAGGCGAATGACTGCAGGAAGGATTTACTGCTCCCCTGCTCCCCATGAGCATTCCTTGGGGCTCCTTCTGCCCTGTAAACCACTTTACATCTCGGCAGCCTCTCTTGACTGGGAGCTGCAAGCGTTTTTGTTTGTTTATATAGGCACATGTGTAAGGGAAATGGCTATTGCTTCTCTCATTGTACAGTATTATGTTGCCAAGCTGTAACTGGTTAGTTTCTTGAGCCATATCTGCCATAGGAGACAGCTGTGCTCATGGCTTTGGAGATGTGTTGCTTCTTAAAAATAGTTGTTACAATAATATTAAAACAGCAAAGCCCTATATGCAGAGTGAAGTGTCTTACCTAGCCAGTAACATCTCATGAGGTGTCATTACACAACCCATGTCTGAGGCCAAGACCGAAGGTTGGGAAGCTGGACGTTCGATATTTTTGGGTCCAGCGTGCAGAGGGGTCGCTAGGACTGCCCGAAAGGGCCTTCCATGGTCATGTGGTGAATGGGGAGCAGCCTGCACAGAGGCAGGGACACCCCAAACCTTCTTATCAGGGGCTGGGAAGGGAGGGCGGATCAGGCTCTGAGCCTCGGTTAAGCAGTCACTTGCATAGCAGGAAACTGCCAGGATACCTGAGGAAAGAAAAGGTAGATGCCTTGGCCCAATATATTTCTGCTATTCAAAATAAAATACGTAGAACAGCCACACAGGGGAAAAAAAAATCAGGAGAAATAAGAGCATGCTCCATTCCTAAAGCAACATGGTATTGTCATTTAAAATAGTGCACTTTGGATGAAGTGCTGAAAAGTCCTTATTTTCTGTTCATTCTTTGTGCAGTGATTCATTTACAACAGAGCTGGACTACTTAAAAATTCAAACAAACCTTCCGGTCTTTTAAAATACATCGAACAATGACATAGTCATTAAAAATTTTTGAAAGCAAATTTGCCTTTAAAGCAAATGGAATGTGACGAAGATGTGAGAAAAAAAATCCATGCATAATCTTGTTTTAGTAGAAGAATATATTCATATAAAAGAGGGTAAGAAACCAAAAATTTTCAAATAAGTTGAATAAAACTTTTACATTATTAGGCAAGTTTGAGCAAGAATGCCCATGTGTATCTTTTTCCTAATTTCTGTTGTATCAGAATTTATTTCCATAGCAAAAAGGGTTTCTTTCCAAACAATTTTAACTCTGTGAATTATTTGAAACTTGACCCTTCTGAAGATACCAGCTTTTACAACTAAGCTCCCCAAAAGTAAGGAAGCTTTAAGTGTTAAAAATTCCGTATTTTGTGTAAAAATGTGTATGAGGTACTTCTAAGGTAAAGAACTCTAAACCCTAGTCCCACCTCTGTTAACCGGCACCAGTCTTAGGGCTATAATATATAACCGTAAGTTAAATCATGAAACCTGCATAGTAACATGCTGAGAGAGAGAGCAGGCAATCCGTAAGGATAAGTTGCTCTTCTTCCCCCAGCTAACCATGTGAAAAGCTCTAGATACCCACGTGCAGCCGGACAGCGCTGGCTCAAGGATTATAGCTCGGTAAGATGCTATCGAATTGGAAAGATGCGTAGAGCTCGTCGCCATCCGCGTCATAAAACTGGGTGTCTGCAATGCTATTCTGGTGATTCTGGAGCGGGTTGGCGGACAGGCTTGATTCACTCAGAAGCTCTTGGTCTGTAAAACTGTAGGCTGTGGGATCGGCTAAATTAGACTGTGAATTAAAAGCTGTGCTGCCAGGGGCTGCTGCAGGTGTGCATGCCGGGGGCACCTGGTGGAGCTGCTGCCTGGCATTGCTCGCAGGCAGCACTGGGCTAAACTTCTCGAAGCTTAAACTGGCGAAGTTTATGTCCTCGGTCTCCATGCTGACGATGCTTGCGGTGCTCACGCTGGCGGGGTGCGCCTGCTGCGCGAGGCTGCTGCTGGGCACACTCTGCATGTCTGCAGGCGGCACCAACCCAGCGCCCAGGCCGTTGGTGCTGCTGAAGCCCCTGTAGAACCTCGTGTCCTTCTCGTCAGGCCAGTTCAGGGAGGTTTCGAAGGTCTGGAGGGAGCTGCTGCCCTGTGCGCTGCCCTGCAGCACCTCTTCTGCAAAGCTGCCCTGTGGGTGGGCACCAACTAGGCTGCCCACAGCTGGGGCTGTGTTCTGCGGGGGCCAGCACAAGGAGAGCCCGTCCTGCTTCCCCGGCACCACCGGCATCGGCTGAGGTGGCATCTGATTGCAGGTGGAGTAAAGCTGACTAGTGTTGGCCACAGCTGCAGGCCCTGGCATCAGCAGGGTGGAGGAAAACAGGTTTGGTTCTACAAAAAGGAAAGACGTTGCCACGTTTTTATTCTACTGCACATATTTTCAAGTTTACGAAAGACAGACAGCACAGCTAAGGCTGCACAGGCTGACAAAGCTCAAGCTTTGACCCAGCAAAGCTATAGTGGTGCTATCTTAACAATACTGTATGTGTGTTTGCACTTAAGTACTTGCTTAAGTAAGTGCTCTCCACAGTATGACCTAAGAGGTCTGGACAGCAGCAACACAGTTATCCTCTACCTTACCCCTCTGCGTGGCCAATACTGAAGAGAGCAGCCTAAGTATAAAACAACCAGTGGCTTTAGTTGGCACGGTCAAAAGCACCAGTATCTTATGGCAAGACAACCTGGAGAGAATTTCAGAACTTCAAGCAAGGAAGAGGGAAAAAACCACTTGTCCCCATACCAAGTTGACACTGGCAGGCTGGCACATGTAAGCAAAAACCTACCTTTCTTAATCAGCTTCCCTTCAGAAGCAACGGGTGAGAATGGAGCTACTTTGGGCCTCTCTGATGCATTTGATCCTGTAGTGGAAGGAATCATGAATCTACTCCAAATTTGTGTTTTTAAATAAAAGAATTCCATCTAGTTGTGCACTGTGCACTGAAGCAAGAAAAAGTCAAATATTTTCCTTACCACAGTCCTGTATGAGTTTTTGCCAAGCCAACGTTGATCTTTGCCTTTTCGCTTTGTTACCATATGGATCTGCAGAGAAAGAGTGCAAGGAAAACCCAGGTTAACAAAGATTTTCTTCAATGTAATTTGTGAAGGAACTTCCTAAGAGTTATACTTAATTGTATATTGTGGCATATATGCATATAACCCCTAATTGTAATACGGTATATTTTAAAAATTTTATTTCAGACATACGACTAAAACCAAGACAATGTCATTAATTATTACTCTTAATACTTTTATGGAAAGAGAGGCTAGAATAACTGATAATTTAAAAAAAAAAATCAAGCCCTACTCTGTAGAAATAGTGTTGCACAATTTTTAACCTGTGATTAAGTTCAAATCTATTATCAACAAGAGCTCTGCAGGGAAAATGAACTTTAAGAAATCCAAGTAACTGGGATGGTACCCTTTTCATCTGGAAGGTATCTGAAATCCATGGGCTCGCTGACTTCCTGGTCGGAAGGTCTCCGCAGTTGCATCTTCACGGTGACGGGCTCCGAGATGTCTCTGAGGAAGGGCGGTGTCCTGAAGACAATGGCAACCTGGCGGTGAACATCAGCCTGCGAGAAGGAGCCTTTTGCCTCCCAGTTGTCCAAGACAAATCTGACTTCTATATCATCTAGTCCATCAGAAAAAAAAAAAAAAGATGCTTGTTAAGCTAAAGAAGAAAACTAAAAACTTGCAGCAGAGAAGGTGGGAAGAGAAAGAAGAAAAGGAACAGAGTCAATAAAGCTGCACAGTGTCTTTAGTATCTTTTAGAGGTGCTGGGAACAGCTCTTCTGCCTTGCTAAACCAGAGCACTTCTGTCAGAGTGTGGTGAAGGGTTCAAGCTGCCAAGCGAGGAAGTGTCAGCGTCAGCATTGGGAACAAAGGAAAAAAGAGACAGTTAAGATGATCACCTTTTTGAACCTTGTCACACAGTAGAAATATCTCATCTCCTCCTTTTACACTTCCACAGTTCTTATTCACACGACAAATGCGCAATTCTGCTGTGTTGGGAGCTCCTGGAAAAAAACAGACAAATTTGATGGTTAAGAATTTCTATAAGTTTATTGCTATTGAAGAAGAAGTGCACAGAATTAAGGGAGATGACAGGAATGAATGATTGGAGAAATGTGACACACAAAGGTGTGAAACCCTGAAAGCCACACTAAAAAAGTCCCATTTCATTTCAAGTGGGCAAGTTTTGTAAAAATCACCCATGATACTGCAGATGAGCATGCATGGCTCACAGAGGGGTCTCCACCTGTCTGGTGTTTATGGTGCTCCTTTTGGGAAATATCAAGGCACGGTTTCACTTTCCATGCAAATCTGGAATCAGCAACTAGCAGGGCTGTTTTACAGCTCTTGTCTGCTCATCTCTCAACACAAGGTGCGAGGCAGCTGGTCTATGCCGCTCACTCCTGAAGTTTTCCAGATCAGCCTTCCCAAAACACTTCAGATGATGCTGTTGTGCTTGGCATCACTGGCTTCAAGCTGCAAAATTCAGAAGTCTTTGAGTGCCTGATCACCTGTTACAGCCACTTCTTCTTTGGAAGAGCTGAGGCCAGCAAGTCAAGAATTCCCCTCTTCACGTATCTGGTTGAGGTTTTATTTACAGACCTGTGCAGCCATCAAACCTCTCCTCCGTTACCTAAGCAGGCTGGGGAAATCACAGCACCAAGAGTGAGAGCCTGGGACCCAGCGCTGGGGACGTGCAGGCAGCAGCCTTCCTATAGAATAAATATGGCCAGGCAAATACCGCAGGTCACTGTCTTTTGTAAATACTAAACGTCTTTCAGAGTGGAAATACCTGCAGGGAACAGTCTGCTAGGAGCTTTGGGGGCTCTGTTACCCTTCATTTAAATGAAGTCACAGGCTAGGGATTCAGCAGCACAAAAATGCCAGAATGGAAGGACTCCTGCTCCAATGCTGAGTTCACCTCCTGTTCTTATACCTTATGTTGACATTCTATGTATATGAACACACCATTTTTTTTCCAAAAACCCTGTCTTCACTCAAAACAGAAGGTAACTGATGCTCCTTTCTGCTGCTGCGTGTGACTATGCATTTGTCCCATTTACTGCATTCTCTTCCAGCCCTCCATTCCAAACAACTGCCCTGAGCTTGCCCATGCTCCTCTAGCTGCATTACTCCCAAGTCCAGATGTGTTGAAAAGCCTGGGCGGACTGGGCTGACCCAGGAATCCCACCCTCCTCCCACTGCCTGCTCCCTGTCCCATGCCTGGAACTGAAACGCAGGGAGTGAAGCGCAAGGCAGCACCCCCCAAACATCTGCGTAGTTTGGGGCCCTGCTCCAGGTGGACTCACGGCCGGCTTGGGAGGGAGGCTGCAGCTCCCTCGCCTGCCTCAGCCACTGTGTGACTTCACTTGCTGAATGAATCAGAAACTTTGAAGGGTGGGGGAAAAAAACCCGAGCCTAAACAGTACAGGATCATATGATTGACACTGTCAGCGCCTGGCAGTGTCACTGTGTGCTTTTCACAGGAAGAATAAATTAAGAATCGCAAGGAAAAGCTTAATTTTACCTCTGTTTCACTTCTGCATGCCCAAATGGCAGCCAGGGTCCTTTTCACAGGTTTTGGGGGTGGCATCCTGAGCTTGCTGACTTTTTCTTAAGGGGTTTAGAAGGGAGGAAACAAGACACCAGCACCAATGGTCGTACTGCTTCCCACCTCTCCCCCTCCTGCCCATTCCTACTCTTCATTCCCTGTTTCTGCATTTTGCTCTCTCCTGCACCCCAGGGCTTCTGCACCCCACCTTGCTTTCCCCCTGCAGACCTTGCTTTCCCCACGGGCTCTGCACAGAGCCTCATCTCCAGGTCTTGCCCTGGACCCTTAATTCCCCTCAGCATTTCCCTGAGGCTGTAGAAAGGGCGCAAGTCGCCCCAAACACAGCAGAAATCAACCCCCTCACAAGGAAGCCGAAATCAACCCCCACGCAAGGAAGCCCGCATGGTCGTGCTGCTCAGCAGACCCCACGTCACTTGGACCATGGGCAGAAGGTCCTTCTGCTTAACTGTGTTTCTCAGAAACGCCGGGTTGCCTCATCTGGCGCTTCCCAAGAGTTTTCAGCTTTGTAAGATACCCGGCCTGGGAAATTTCTGATCAAAGCCAGTTAACGCTACAAGCAACTGCGAACAGAAGCTGCCCGAAATATTGCGTTCTTCTATCTGCTCAGTCTCTGCTAGTGTGACTGCTTCCATATTATGTTCACATTATTCTTAAATTCCATAATGTATTTATGCATCTCAGCTATCCAAATTAGATGGAGACTAAAAAAGTATTAGAAAGCAATGCAAATACCAGATCTAAAATGTGCAAGAGAAGCTCTGAATACTTTTTTTGCTCCTGATCTGAACAGGTTCACCAGAGCATCAAGGTAAAAGGAGAGGTCTCCCCACTTCACTGGCAAGAGAAACTTCATGTACCACGTGCCATATGATTTTTCTCTTATCTAAAATTATAGCCATTTCTGTATGACAGAGCTAGTTTAAAAAGGTTAACAATTTTTTAAAGAAATTCAGATCTGAAAGTGCTGTTCCACACAAGAGCAGCCTAATTTTTATAATGTGCAGTTGCAGTTACGCTCTGTTTTATTTACACTGCTGCTAAGTTACCCGTAGGCTTTTAGATGCCTAGAGAATAGCAGAAGTCGCCCACGTTCACCAGCGATAAAAACCCCAGGCTGCCCTCGCCCCACAAGCTCTGTCACTTCGGCAGCATAGCCCAGACTGACGTCAATGAGCGCGCGCTCGTAATCATGATTTGGCACATTTCTAAATGGCACCTCAAACGTGGCTGCGGATCCTCCACATCCATTTCATCTCAGCCTTAACTACCCTGCTGCAAGCGTGCTAAGCAGCACCACGTGCACAGTTTCAAATTGCAGGCAACGCTAGGGCAGGCTGCGAGGACATCAAAACCAGCTGAATTCACATTAAACGTGTTCACAGTGGTGGTGTAAACATCAACACAGTTCTGAACATCAGCTGTATAAAATGCAGTTCTCACTCAATTTCTGCTAAAACTTAAATGTCCTTAACATTTAGCAAGGAAATACTTTCACACTGCTGAAATAAAAATTACCTTGAAAACTTTTCAGTGAATAAAAGCTACTCTGTGAAGACAGACAAGACTATAGACTAGTCCCCAAGAATTGCAAAATTGCTTATAAAGCCTCGGCAACAAATATTTGAAATATTTGTTAATATGGACAACATACTTTTCCAGGGCAGAAGTCCCACTCAAAACTATTGTAAATGTTGAGGGTTAAAATCCTCAGCTGAAGTGATCTGCCAAAGCCATATGGTAGTCCTCTCTTTTTTGGAATAAGGAAATAGGTGCTAAAAAAGGGCTATTTTGCATGTCTGGGCACCCTCCCAGAGCCTCCTCAGATACACCCTCCCTCATTAGCTACCAGCATCCTGAAAATACAGACAGAATGGGATACAACAGGGATACACAGAAGCTTTAAACCAGTTTCCCAAGGGGCCAACGGATTAAACACCACCCAAGAGCCCTGTCTCAAAGTGCTCCCAGGTAGAAGGCAAGTCTCACCAACACCAACAGCTCTGAGATGACATCCTTGGAAAACAGATGGGCCTTATGGGAGCCATCCACCTCACTCCTGCTTTAATGAGGCTGGCCTTTCCTTGCAGTCATTACTGGGATATGAAACAAGGGCTAAGAAAGCATCAAATGAGCAGGTACAGCTAAAACTTCACTCCTGAATCATCTTGCGAGTCCGCAGTGTGAACTGCATTGCCACGTGGCAGTCATGCACCTGGCATGCAGTCCCAAGCCACAAACGTGGCCCAGAGGGCTGACAAAGAGCTCAAAAACCAACCTGGCACTTTGCATCTCAAGCAAAGGAGGGAAAAAACAAAACATGTTTAACTGAGCTGGTACTTACTGTTGTCGTAGATGGGGTTGGAAATCAAAGGAGGAAGAGCTAAGGTGTAGTTGCCGTGTTCGTCGGGGAGGAAAGCCTGGAAGCAGAGGCGGACAACGTTGAGATCGTACTCATCGATGTTGTGCAGCTGCTCTTCAGGCACTGCGTGGCAGAAGGAGAGACACTGAGGTTACTCTTCCGAAAGAGCAGAAATGCTATAACCAAACTGGGGCTGAAAGCTCACTGAGGAAAGAAACGGCGCCGTCAGTGCCGGGCAAACGAGGCCATCGTCCCCGCCGGCGTCAGAGAGGCTGCGCGCATAAAATCCTTGTACACAACAAATGGAACTTTAATGTCTTCCCTTCATAAAACAAGGCTAAACCTGAAGCAAAAAAGTAAAAAGCTTTCCTTCTACCCGGGCATCCGTCTCTGCGCTGCTGTGTTTCACAGACCCTGCTCTTCGGCGCAGCCGTCTTGGCCACGTGCCAGGCCCGGCCTGCCCAGGCCGCGGCAGAGGCCGAAGGGCCTCAGCCACGAGCAGGGCACCGACCACGGCCACCGCTGCCCGTGCGCAGCGACACGCGGCTGCTCCCGCTGCCGGCCCTCTGCAGAGCCACTGCTCCCAGCCAGACAGCTCAGCCCAAAATGAGGGTTCCCAGCGCTCTGAGGCTGCAATTCCTCAGCGCTAAGGGATCTCTACCACAGCCTCGCGCGTGGACTGGGCTTTTTGACTCACTCCAGGTCAGATTCTCAGGCTCTCACCCTGCTATTTGAGTTGAGTCGTTCCTCGAGTGCTCTTTGCTCACCGGCTTCCTCACCTTGCCTTCCAGACCAATGTCATGTATCTACACATTTAAAAGCCATTCTCTGGATACACATTTCTCTTTCATTTGTGTCATAATAAAGTTCACAAAACAAATGTCACTGCCCAACAGAAACCTCTCAGTACAAAGAAATCTGCAGGTCTAGCTGAAGATCTTCAGCAACAGCAAGAAACTTCTGCTACATTACCACTATTTTCCTTTAGAAGCTGAGAAGGAAAAATGACCAGAAGGAAGTTCCTGGGGTGAGAATGAAGCCAAAACAATACAAACAACCCGCCCTTCCTGTCAAGATCTTTGTCACTTCTGTGCTTTTGAAAGTAGTGATTAGTAGCATCATTTACTTATGTAACACAACAGGCAAACCCTTTCCGAAAAGGATATTTAGTTATATACTCTTCCCAGTGTAAAATGCAGTAATGCTAAATCCAAGAGCAGCATTTCATTTTTTTTCACCTTCCTCTCATTTTCATTTCAACACATTGGGCCTAGGATATTATTACTAAACATTTCATGTACTCTTAGCATAACAGGTGATTCTGGGAAAGGTGGCAGTATATGAACTTGGTAGCACTTTACGCTCTGACATTAAGCTATTATGTTGACACCCAGCGACAGCAAATGAAAGACTGATTTTATTTCATTTACATTCAAGTACCGGAACTTAAATCATTTAAAGAGGTTCCCTTTTCAATGTGGCAGTTCAGCTCAGCAGTTATATACAGGTCTGCAGACAACAGATCACAAACTCCCCTCCTGCCCTTTCACAGATCCCCTGCAAGAACAGAGCATTAAATGTGCCTGAGATAAAAGGCCTGGGGGTCCTGCCCTGCTGATGAGGTTGCGTTCTGACCTTTCGTGCTTATCGCTGGGCTACCTGCACCCTGCATGGGCAGGATCCCTCATGCCCAACTCGACCCATTTCTTCCTTTCACCTTTTGATGGTGTGAAGTACTAACTGCACTCAATTCACAATACTTTCCACTGGCATTTTCAGTCTTTCTGATGTTCTTAATATGGCAGTTTCTCCTGATCTCTGCTGTAAAAGGAAAGCCAATCACTTGCAATTTTACAAGCCCGTGGTCAGCAAAACCAAGTAGTGAATATTGTAACTTTTAAATGTTGGACCCCAGCTAATGGGTGCAGAGGCAGAACCGCCACAAGGACTCTGCTTGTGTGAAATTTGGGGGCTGTATTACCAGATATGCAAAGTTTTATTCAATGCACCTCACCAGCTGGCCTTGTTGACTTCATAAAATTGGATCAAAACAGCTTTTCTCACCAGTGTCACTGTGTTTTAAGCAGCTTGCTCCCTCAGCCCAAACTGACACTGCAGAGCCTGGGAGAGGAGTCACAAGGAGGCATCAGTACCTGAGAGACATGAGGGGCACTGGACCAGCTCTCACTGGATGCAGGAGCACCCTTCGTGAAAATATAAATTGAAATCCAGACTGTTATAATCCAACTCCAGAGCAGCTCCTGCTGTCGGGAATGCTGCAGACATGGCAGAGCCCTTGAGGCCATTCCTACATCCGTGTTCTGGTGGCCGCTGTGATGATCCACTGGCTCTCAAAGAAGCCAAGCAAGGATGCAGTAGATTAAGGCTAAGCTTGGGAACATTTCTAGGCTTGGACAGGAATTCAAGAGGAGGTCTCAACCTCAGCACTTCTCAGCAAGAAATGGCTCTACAGCCTAAGTCAGCTTTGACAGTCGCCACTGCTTCTTGATACAATCCGAACTGGAAAAAAAAAGTATTCTCTAGATTAAGTCTTACAGAATGAATAACCAGAAGTGTAATGCTATTTTACTCCCAGCAATTCAAGTGATTCTTATCTGTGCTCCAGCATCTTAGCTAGCAAGCAACTGACTCCCAAGGACATTTAGACTTGTATCAGTGTGTTGGTAGCCTTTGGTGATAATTTGGATTCAACCAGAAAGCCCACCAGCCAAATTTCAAACCCCCTAAAAATGAAACCAAATATGGAAATTCAGTACCTTTGCCTAATTCAACTCACTGTAGATAGAAACCAAGCACAAAATCTGGATCTGGCTTTTGATTCCGAAACAAAGTGAGAATTTTGTGGTTGTGGAATCAAGTGCATCTCTCAAAAATTAAAGCATCAGTCCTGGACTGTGGTTCCCAGAGATACAGTATCCTGTACCTCAGAATTAAACCCTGACAAACAGCTGTATAAACACAAAAATACATTAGATATCGGTAAAATAAGTAAGCATGTTAATCTTAGCATCCAAATTACACAGTTTTATATACTATCAACTTTTACAGCTTCCCTATAAGTGTGCTTGTTCCACTCAATCTTGGAACGATACAGTGGGTCAGCAACTGCGAAACACAGAATCATTGTATACAGCTCATTGTACTGCTGCAGAAAACACTGCTGCTAATTTGCATGCTCTTGTAAATGATTTAGTATATTAAAGAAATTGGCAGCTTGAAAGAGGAAGTGCTCAGTCAAGACTGATTCCTCTTGGGCTATTTTTAACCAGATGAGAAGAACATAACAGAGCAGAAAAGGAGAACATGACAGCTGCAACTCCATCTTGCAATGACTTGTTTAAAAATATATAGAAGCTAAACCTCATTCTTGAATAGCAAATCTTTCATCCATTTCAAACCATATCCCACTCACACCTAAAAGACAATCATCCAAATAAAATAAAACAATGTTATTTTTAATGAATGTCTAATTCTGCTCTCTCTGAAGTCAATCTGAGACTAACCGCTGACCTGAATGGATGCTGGCTCACACCTAGAGGATATTAAAAACAAACAAAAATGAGGCAGACATAAACACACTGACTAATGCTTGGAAGATGTCCATACACAGGCTAGTGGTGTCGTTCAGCGTTATTTCACCAACTTCCACATAGAAGGACAACAAAAAGCACCAAACCTAACAAACTTAATGTGACTAAAGTTTTAAAAAAAGATGTTGAAGATTTTGGGAAGAGAAAGGACTGGAGAAGAACAACCCACACAGCACCTTGCAGTGTCAAGCTCAGAGGAGCCGCTCCACTGCAGTGTGTGACATTACACATGTGAAGGAAGGATTGCACAAGGGCCTACACACAACACATTAATAAAAGGAAAAAGTACTACGCTCTTGGCAAGGGTTCAGCTTCCTCTTTTTGCTTCTTGCTATGTGGCACCACACCTTATTGTCTTCACACAAATCCCACTAAAAGAGCTGGAATCCAACCGGTAATCTATGTAAACCTTGCAACAAAGTTCCTATGATGTCCCTGGCTAATAAAAAATGAGCCCTCATTCGGCAGGAATTCATTCTCTGCAGTTCTCTCTTCAAACAGGAGTATGTTAAGGAATGTTTGTAAGTAGGGGTCTTTTGCTAGGTGAGAGAGAACAACTTTCGAAACTAACCTTTAACAACTCAAAAGCACAGAAAATACTATTTAAAGGAATTAAAGCTCTCGAAGTAAATATGGGGGCAGTTCCAAGCAAACACCAAACAAACAAAAAAACCACAAAAAGCTCTCCCCTCCCCCAAAAACAACAAAAAAACCCAAATTCACCTAAAACTATGACAACAAAAAATAACAACAAAAATACACAACTAGAGCAATCATAAAGGAAAAAATAACCATCTCACCAAGATTCTAGCAATGGATATTTTTAAATGTTATGCTAAAGTGTTAAAAAATTGGACTTGAGAAGTATTTGCTGTTGAACCAGAATGGGGCTACATTAACTAGTAAATTCTATCTTAATAAAACTACTTTCAACTCTTCTAAAAAACACTAACTCCTCAGCTTAAAAAAATAACTTCCATTGAGAGACTTCCCTACCTGCATGGGGAGAGCCCAATGCAGCCCCAAGGAGGCTACCTCAAGCTACCTCCTTGATGCCTCCCCAAGCTGAGCTGCCTCATCTGAGCAGCCATTCAAACTGGCACCGGGTTTTGGTTTGGGTTGTTCCTGTCTCAGACATCACTGAAATCCAAAGATGCCCAATGGGCTTCCTACAGAATAAGAGATCTCGGAGACTTTCCTGTACTTGCTCCTGTGAAAACTGGATGCTTTTTGGAGTCAACTCACCAAAAGCAATTCCTCACTCTGGCACAAAATTAGAGGTGCATCAGGCCTCCTGTTTGTTAGTGTTCACTGCTATTTAATTTCTTAAAATTATTTAACAATAGCCTTAGCACCTAGAGAGAATCATAAAATCTCATTTAGGTACTGATATTGTCGGGGGATTAAAGGTTTTGATGTTTACTCATAAGACAACTTAGAAGGAAAGTGAAGTTTGATTCTGAGCAAGGAGGAGCACTGCAGAAGGGTTTGTTCTTTGAGTGATACCACAAC